CCGCCCCGCAGCGCGATTGGCTGTTCGGCCGCGGAGCGGGACTTGGACGAGGTGGGGGCTCAATCCAAGGATTTTTTCCTCCTTTTTTTTTTTCTTTTTTTCTTTCCTGGTCCTGCGGCGCTTCTGGTAGCGGTGGGCTCCTGGGTTGGCTCCCAGCTCTACCTCCCGAATTCTGGGCCTTGAGCTCAAGGAGGTTATCCCTCCGCTTCTCACTGGGTGCCCCTCAGCGCTCATCCCCTCCCAAACAGCGGCCTTTTCGGGGAGCTCTAGTCTTCGCCTCCTGCTCCGCGGCAATCTGTTTCCCCATTACCACAGACCTCTGCCCCGAGCTTCATTCGTCCCTAATCCCGCTTCCGTCGCAGGGAAGGGATGGCACCCCCGGGTGACCAAGGACACCGCAAGAAACGAGGGACTCACCCTCTCTGGAAGCTGAGATTTATGAAGAGAACTCAACCCGCTCGGAGTGAGGATTTGGCTGGGAGACTGGGGGTTAAGGGGTGGGGTGGGGCATTTTCACTTCACTGAAATTGCGGGTGCCTCTCAGGGCCGCTCCTGGCCCTCTGCCTTTCCCTTCCTCCTGCTGTGATCTCGGGAGTTGAAACTGAATGGAGAGCAAGTGCGCCGGCCCCACCCTCACCCCCGGTCCAGTCCTTCGCTTTAAGATTCTTCCTGGGCAAACGAGGCCGTGTGGCTTGCCCACTCTGCAGTAAATGCAGTCTGGGTTGATAATAGTAGCCCCACATAAGCAGCCTGAGGGCAATGGGTGGGATTGTTGAACTGCCACTTTTTCCGGGCACTGCACCAGGCCCTTTCCAGGTCTGTCACACTTCGCCCTGACCGGTTGTTTCCATGAATCCGGTATTGCTGATGAGGAAGTCGGGACTCACAGAGATTAATTACTCCTTGCAGTTCTCAAGGTATCGTATTCGATCTTGTTTCAGTCGCTTCGAATGTGCTGTTCTCTGTGGAGGAAATTTTTGTTCTTCTCTTGGCTAACTTCTGTTCTTCCTTAAAGATTCTATTTTAGGCATCACCTCCTCCTCCAGAAAGCCTTCCTTTTGAACCTCCTTAACCCATTCAGGCAGTGTTGGTGCCCAGCCAAGTCAGCCTGGATCCAAAATCTTTATATTTTCCACTATATCCCAAAGGAAGGGGCCTGAAGGAGTTACTCTTCTTATATCTTAGGGACAATCCTGTTCCTTTCTTAACCCTCTTTCCCTCACATTTTCCTCTGCTAGTTAGTAGGTGACAGGTCAAGGCAGAGTTGAAGAGCGAGCACTCCTTGGAGCTGAGTTCTTTTCCCTTCCTGGTCCCCAACATCTCTGTTGTACCCTCCCACCGTTTCCCCTTTCCTTTCTCAGCCCCACTTCCCACCCTCCACCTACAACCTGGACATAAGCTCAAGAGCAGGGACAAGTTTTATTCGTTTTTATATGCCTCACGTGTTTAACACAGGGTTTCTTTACTATTGACTGAAAAATTATTTGTTGTGGAGGCTGTCCCATGCATTGTAGGATGTTTAGCAGAATCCCTGGCCTCTCCTCACTAGATGCCCATAGTACCTTCCCCCTAGTGTGACAACCAAAAGTCTCCAGATATTGCAAAATGTCCCCAGAGGGGCAAAATCTTCTGGGGTTGAGACTCACTGGTTCAACAGAATTGAATTAATATGGATTTCCAAGAAATTCCCTGGCTCGAGGCCTAAACTATTTGATTTTGGAATTCTTCTCAGGGTATAATTTGTTCAACTCTTAAGGACTCATACTCTGCTTTAAAATTCACAACCTATGCCTAGCTCACCACTGCTTCAGTGTGGTAAATCTGCCACTGCACAGCCCATTAGGGTTTCTTAATAAAAGAATTAATTATCCTACCTTCCCTTTTCTCAATACATCTCCTCCTAAACTGTCAGAGCTCTAGGATTGACAGGCCCAGAACATCATGTTCTCTTTTGTGAGCCTAGTCAATCAGCAGGACCCGCAACAGTAGTGGCAGATAGGAGTGGCCCCTTGTTCCTTTCTAGCCTGCCTAGGATAAAGGAAGCAGAGTGATCTTCAGTTGGAAGTAGGATTAAGGACAGCTCTCAAGTACCCTCTGGCCCCTATGTAAAGTTTTTTGTTGAGTCTAGAGCTCCACCTGGCTTCATTTTCAGAGAAGGGTTTTTAAAAACTGATACGGAGTTTCCAGAGAATCAACATGAGGAGAAACCTCAATCCATTATCTTTTCCACAACCAGTGGAATGGACAACAGCAAATATCAGGCATCTGTCTGATCATTATAGGTCCAGAGTTTCAGAGCTTGTCATAAGGAAGAAGCTATCTGGAAACAGCTCCTGGAAGAAGTAACAAGAAACCAGATTAACTGAAAACTTTGAAACTATAAGTCATGGAATTGGCATACACTCTCTTTTAGTTTGTCAACAAAGAAGCGATAGCTATCAATACCATTAACCACAGGGGTGCCCATAAATATACCTAGGAGATAATTAGGGGCTGGTCTATAAGTTTTTCCATCTTGCATAGATGGCTCCCATGCTGAGTTATTTTTAAACCTCTAAAAATTCATTTCCTGAGGCTACTGGTAGAGGGCTAGAGGTATAAATAGGTACATTATAAGGACAAACATACCCCTTTCCCATATAAGCACTCCACTTTAACCCAGGGAGGTCAGATATGTGATTAAATAGGTAACATCTGACAGAGAAAGCTTAAAAATAAGATGCAGGAAGTCTTAACCTAATTTTTTAGGATATCAGGCAGCCAAGGTAAAGTAGTAGAAAAAGAACAGAACAGCCTTCTCTCCCTATCAGTCAGGTGTGGATGTAATGAGAAAACATCTCATTACAGAATGCAGAACTGTAGAGAACTTTAGTTTAGGTTACCAACTAAAGAAGCTGGCTACCGGGCAGCTGCTCAAAAATGGCTACTCTGGTAGCTGAGAAAAAAGAGGGAGTTGGGCTCATCCTCTGGTTACTGAGTCAGGCAAAACCTGACTTGGTGACAAATCTCTGCCAGATTAATTTCTTTCTTCCCTTTGGTTGTATGTTGTCAGGCTGGATGTCAGGGTCCTTTGGTCCCAAACCAGGGATGCTAGCCTCTGTGCTCTCCAGCTAAAAATAGCACACAGGAGGCTTGGGGAACCTAGAAAGAGACTTTAGTTTCTCTGCCTTAAGTCTACACTTCTCAATTCCCCAGAGTGGTGGTTCTGAGAAAGCAGTATATTTTATACATGTAACAGGGGATGGGTGGATTTATTAGTGGAATGACCCACCATGGAATAGGGGCTAAAGGCTAAGGCCATTGAACATGCCTATTGGTAACCGCTTCACTTTTTCATATCCTTGCCCTATAGCAGGCTCTTTAGCCTGTTGCCCAGAAACCATTCTCATCTCTGAATTAGTTCATAGAAGCAAGGAATACTCTCAAAACAGGAATCCATTTTAAGAATATTTTATTTATCTTTTGAGATTACATGTTCATTATTGCTGATCTAATACAATCACTTAGACATAAAGATTTCCAAGAGCCTCTTCAGAAATGGTGATTCTTAGAGGTTTTATTTCCTTTCAGTAAGATGACAATGAGAACTAGATGATTAGTTATATATATATGTATGTATATATAGTTTAGAATTTGTCCACATACAATTTGCTGGTGTTGCCTATTTTCTTTCCATAATGTTCCTTTATTAAAAAAAGCTTAATGCAACAGTGCATTCAGATTTCTTTTTTAAAACTGTGACAAAGTTAATTTTGAGAAAACCAAAGGAGCAGCAATTTCAGATCTGTTCAGAGAAAAGCCAAGCAGCAAAAAAGCTTTGCAGGAGTATGTGGCCATGAGGAGCCGTGCTCGTATGGGAGGCTAGGATGAGGAGGTGGGAGGGTAGAGAGAAGGTAGACCAGATACCTTTCTTTAAAAAAAAAAAATGAGAAAAAGAACAATATTTCCATTAAGAAGACAAAAAAAGACCTTGAAAACTTGCACAAATTCATCATAGGGGAAATAAGTATTCCCACAGGCCAGGGTAACATACAGAGATAATTAGTCTTCTTTCCCATGCTTCCAGATACCTAGGTGAGAGCTTGAGGGAAGAAGACACATCTGCTCTGATTCCAACGGTAGAGGGAATAGTGGCCAAATTCCAGCACTAAGGTAGAACCCAAATTCTCAGGAGGCCTGGGCCTCCTTCTTCTTAATGATTGATGACACAGAGAGAAAGAAGTCACCCGAAACTCAGGCAAATACCTCACTGTGGGCAGCAACACTGGCAACGTAACCTAGAAGCCCAGGGTGGCTCCTTTGTCATCTGCAATGGGTCTCTTCACTACAGCAAGGCAGAGCATGCTCTGTCAGGATCAGCACATAGAAAGCTCCACAGACAGCCAGGCTTTGCTGAGAAACAGCAGGTTATGACTTTTGGCCTAAGAACATAATAGGCTAGAGTCCAGATATCTGCCTAATGGAATTTCCTCTGGATATAAGATAAGGTACAAAGAGCTGAATCTTTTATAAAAGAGATCCAATTAATTAATACAAAAATCAGAACTGGGTAGGCAAATGAAAAAATTAAATGGTCTTGTGGGATTTTCAGCATTTATCTTCTTCATGAAAGAATATAGCCATGTATGTGGCCTTTTTCCAGTACTTGCTAAGACAAGGCCTCTGAGGAACCAGACTCTATGGGCCGAGCCTATATAGTATTAAACGAGGCAAAGAGCCATTTACCTAAGGTCCACCTCCCTGCCTCCAAAAGGAAGATCACTTCCAGACTGTCTCCGAGGGTACATGTGAAGAGCAGGGCAAGCTGGAGAAGGTGAAGGTTGGGGAGGAGAATTAGAGGTTACAGTGATCCTGGGTGGTCTGGTGTTTTCCTGAGTCACCTTGGTCTTAAGATTTTGAGGCAGTCCAAGATAGGAAAAAAAATAGGAAAACAAACAAACCTGAGAGTGTAATCAGGGTTGGAAGGGAGAAGGGGGATTCATTTCATTCAGGGTTCGCAGGGCCACTCTAGACTTGAACTCTTGGAACGAATCTGGTTTCAATGGAACCCCAAGACCAATAGGTCTGTCTCCAAAAGGAATCAGACTTTTAAGTGGGATGTAAAATTTCAGGCTGCTCACATTACTAATTGTTTGTAACATTGGAGTTACTCAAGAAACAACTTCTGAAATACAGACTCCTAAGATGGAACATAAAAAGATATCCCAACAGGGAAGAAATACCACAACTAAATTGCAGAGACAGATTTCTGTTTCATCAATGGCTGAATGTCTGATGAAGTCCAACCTACTCAAGCTAGTTTTGATCATCTGGACACAGTTTACAGTGTCATCTCTGTATAGTTTAGCTGCAAAGACCTTCCCAGGAGACAAATAAATACATTCTGCTTCTTTACAGTGTTAAGCTGTGGGCCTGAAAGACCTGCCCCATTTCCAAAGCCCTATACCCCAAATCCCTTGGAAAGTATACCTTTCCCTGCTCAGTTTTAGAAGTAGTTTTAGGCAATAAAAGAAAGTTTCAGGAAGCAATGTTTCACATTTCTGAGACAGTGTCAATTTGGAGGGAGCTTCCTGGGAAACTATCCAGTTAAATGACAGGGAAGTAAAACTATGGGCCCCAGTGGAGCTGCCCCCCACTTCCTGAGCAGAGGTTAGTTGGGTTAGAAAGATGGCAAAACAAATGTCTGACAAATATCAGAGTAGCTGAGCAAATAATGGAGGCACATTCCTCTTGGAACCAGAAAGTGTTAAAATGGACATAAATATTTAAGGAGAAGAAAGAAATCTTGGGTAAAGGAGACTCCCAGTAAGCACAGGCACAGCTGAGTTCTTGGTGTAGCTTGCCAAAGCCATAAAAATCCTTCCTTCCAACCATTTTATAAAGAAGGCAGTGACTAGGAACCCAGGCCATGTTAATTCAGTGACTTCCAAAAGGCCTTACCTGGGGATGAGCCAAATCTGAGAAAGGCAGCTGTTGAAAATTTATTCCAGAAAACCCCAGCAACAAAGAGTCTGCAGTCCCTGGACTAACCCTGTGCCTGGACAAGGGAAACCTGACAAATGCTAAGGCTCCAGTCAATGGGAGATAACGCAAAGATGCGCTGGGAAAGGTTACCCCATTTCTTTCCTTCCTCAGCCTGTCCTCTGCAGGTCTCACAGCCCTCGGGGCAGTAACCACTCTGGGTCAAGGCGACAGGCACTGGATTCTAGAGTTTAATAAATAAATAATCTAACATATAGGGTGAGCACGGCAGGCAGCTGACTGGAGAAGCAGCTTGCTGGGTTCTTTCCTGTATAGGAGTGGAGAAAAGGCTTGGAGTTCTATTCCTTAAAACTTCTTCTGGCTTGAGTTACAGGAACTTAATACCTGGAGGGAAAAAGAAAGATGACACTGTGATGTTATCAGCTGGTGGGGATGCTGGGACATGAAGAGCCTGCCTAGAGGTGTCATAGGGAGGCAGGGACTTTTCTGGAGTGTATGGTGAGGGTAGGTAATTGTGGTACTTTTCACATCCATATAAAAAAAAACAATATTTCTCTAAAAAGAGGTAAAAATCATATCAAGAAGCTGAAATGAAGAAAGGCAAATTCAGGAAAGGGAACACTGATGTCTGGAGAAAGCCTCGAAGATTCCTTTGGGTGGCAGTGAGGAAGGGTGGGTTTATTTTTCTGAGTCCATGTAAATATGATGATGATGCAATGACCAATCCCAGTAAAGGAAGCTCGTGACTACCCAGGCTTCCCTGTTTTCTGGGGAACCCAAGGCACCTGTAGTAATTAGGCTTGAAGGGCCCATTCTTGTTGAGTCCCAGATACTTGGCCTGTTCATCTGTCAGCTCTGTCAGGTGGGCATCAAAGGTGGGCAGGTGTAGGCTGGCCACATACTCATCTGGAACAGACCACAGAAGCCCTGGTATAAGCATTCATGCCTCTTGTCTGGCTGTTCTCTCCAGGTTAGGCCTTAAAAAGTTGAAAAACACCTTCTAATTCTTGGAGCTGAATGAAAAATGCTCAACTTCTGCCCTTAGTTCTAAGGAATGGTTGCTTGAGCTTCGAGCCCATAACCTTTTCAAAGCCATAACCTTTCTTCCTTACAAGCTGCTTTAGCCTTGAACCTTTCCTTCTCAGACAGGTGAGGGAGCGATGAAATAATAGGCCTTTGGGTCTAAAAGAAAGGATGGCATAGTGGGGGGAGTAAAAAATGGGAAGCTGCAGCTTTAGTTTTCTCTCAAACTCTATACCTTGAGTCACTCAGAAAAAGTAACATCTGGTAAATTCGAAAGGAATGACTACAAATGATACTACACTGTTTGCCTTGCTTTCAGTACGCTTAGTTCTCTTATGCATTTGTTTACATTCCCTTACCTGAATACATATTACTTATTTAGAAAATTTATGTCATTTCCTATGTATTTGTTTGGTCTCCCTAACTTCACTACATATTCATTCAGAATATGGACTGCTCTAGATCTTTTATATCCTTCCAAAGTTTCTATTCAAGGAAAAACATGTCAACTTCTAACAGCTGCTCTGCATTTAGTGCTAAAGCAAAAAGAAACCGGGAGCCGATTTGTTCCCTGATCTTTGCTTCGGGAGCTTATAAACACACTGTATCAATTCAGGTGCTTGAGGCAGGTTCTTTAAAAATTTAAGACAGTTTAATGTTTCTCTTATACAAAACACCCACATAACTTAACTCTTCCTAGAAGCTATTCAGAATCTTTCCTTTGGCTTGAACCAATGGGATGGAAGGTGTATATGAAAGTCTTCTTGGTCTGAGAAAGTTTGGGAAGGGCTGTTTAGAACTGGAATAAGTCAGATGTCACAAGGTAGATGATTCCTCTCTGTTGGGGAAAATCTTTTTCTTCTTTGAGATTCTTACATACAAGGTACTTGAAGAGAAAAAAACCCTTGAAATTCACAGGCAGGTGAACAAAATCACAGCAAAGTGCCACAACTCCAATGAAGCAACCCGTGTGCAACATGTAATAAATGCGCTGAGGATTGGAACCTAGTAATTCTAGCTCCTGCTTTACAAGATAAACATCTTTCCCCCCTATCCTTAAGAAACATAATGCCCCCAAACTTCATTTAGCCTCTGACTCTGAGCTACTTTGGTAAGGAAGGGGATGGAAGAGCACATGCTTACCCATTTTCTTGGGCAACAGGTAGACATCCTGCTTATAGCGACCCTCCGGAGCATTGTAAAGCTCTATCAAGGCAAGAGCCTAGAAAAGCAGAGAGATGGATGCTGACGTGCCATTCACAGCAATCCACCCCATATCAAGTGAAACCCGGATGGTCTTATGACCCTCTGCAGCCCTGCTTTCCCTCTCTGGAAGCCTTACCTGAGTAGTAGCAGTAATTGAAAGCACAAATGTAGGCACTGTGGAGCAGCTTAGGTTCAGCAGACGGCCCTGGAGAGCAAGGATTAAGACACAAACTGGTTAGGACAAAGTCTGCAGGCTTTGAGGAGTGAGGGAAGAGCATGCCTGCCAGTTTCCAAATCTTCCCAACTAACATTGCTGGACAAAAAGCAGGTATTCAATAAATATAAATTAATTGATTGACATTTAAGTGAAACCATAAAAAGTTCTGGAGAATTTGATGAAGGTAAGATAAAAAATCTTTGGGATTATGTAAAAAGGAATAGAGATGGTCACAGTATACTGAAGCCAAAGAAGAGTGCATTTGTCTGAATTTCCTACTTTCTACAGCAGAATATCCCCCTTCTAAGGTATTGACATTCCTTTGAAAGACTGTCCTAAACAATGACCTAGTCAAATCCAGGGGCAAGCTCTCCAGATTGAGAGGGAATATTTTTTTGGATTTAGGAAGCTGTGATGATTTTTGTGCTTCTTCCTCGGTTTGGTTCCCCTAAATTCAAGGGCAGCCTTGTATTTTGAGTGGATGATTCTGAGATTAGAAGAGCTAGAAACTGTCCCCAATACTATCCTTTCCTACCTCATTTCCTAGGAAGCTTGACAACCTTTTATGCTCAACCATAGGAACCAAAAACAGTTGGGGTGGTGGTGCTTGCTTTTGTCACGAAAATGACTAGATGGACCTCCCAGGGCAACTAGAAATAAGTCACCAGACAGTGGGCTGACGTCAAAGCAATTAATGAATATGTAACAACCTGTCCCTCCCCTCCCTGTACAATTCCTTTCTTGTGAAGAAATAATTCAGTCCCTTTATAGATGCCATAAAGTATTTGTGAAGATGAGATAAGGTGAAGAAAGGTAAAAAGAACAGGAAGGATACTCAAGCATAAATTTAAAGGCCCCTAGATGAAGACTGTATATATTTTACATGTTCAAATTCAGTTTCTTTAATTAAAAAGAGGGGATAAAAGATTGAAAATCAAAACTTGAGAAAAGTATTATTATCCTTCTTGTAATTTTGCTCTGTTTCCCTAATGAAGAGAAAGTGTCAAGTTAAGAACAAGGGGCATCGTTATAGCTGTCAAGCATCTAGGACTAGGAAAGAGAAGCTTTCAAGGAAGGAAAAGTGGCCAAACATTGACATATAAGGCCAGTGGAATGAAAGTCAAGACTAAATCAGAGCTAGAGGAAGCCAGGAGAGGGAACTCTCAATCACACAATCAGTATATAGTTGGGTACACACTATATGTCTGGCTCAATCCAGGAGAATGGAATCTATCAGCAAAGACATGACTACATGGAGCTTGCCTAAGATAGCCTTAGTTACAGTCACTTAGTTACAGTGCTTACTGATTAAATCATCCCACAATCAACATTATCTCTTTGTAAGCATCAGTCAGAGTGCATGAGTTCTATCCATTAATTTCACAGTAATAGTCATTATCTGACTCAGCCTGTAGAGTGACATAGAGAGACAGGATAATTGGTGAAAGTGGGGAACCAAAATAGTTTCTTAATTGCCAAAGGAAAATGAAAAGACCTTTCACAGCTACATGTAAAAGCCATTGGTAAAGCAGTTAAGCTTGTGCTCAGGAGGAGTTGAAAAGTATGAGAACATGAGGAGGAGGGCATCTGAGTACTGTAGTCTCTCCTTGTCAGAGCTAAATCTCTCTCACAGCCTCAGGTCTTACCTCTGCCAGCAATACTATCCTCTTGCCATCAGGCCATATTACATGGTCAACTTGGGACCTCACTCGCTCCCAGGTCAGTTCTGGTGTCCGCAGACTCGCCTGGAATACATACAGCAAGCACATCATCAGCCATGCCAGGTCCCACTTTTTGACGAAAAGGTGTTGAAGGAAGCCATTTCAAATAGCAGGTTGAAAGGAGCAACCAACATGCCAGATGGAGAATACCTGTCCTGGGTTGGTTAGGACTGTTCCATTTCAGGAAATTTAATCTTAGGCCCAGCCAGGGAGGGATCACTCAGGATGTCATTCCACAACATATACAGTACGCCCACTCTCTGCTGAGCACAGTAAAAGGTGCTATGGGAAATACAAAAGAAACCAAAGACATGGTTTCTGCCTTCGAAAAGCTCTTATTTTGGTTGGGGACACAAAACAATACATATGTGAGGGGGAAAAAGCCTTTAAAATACTTACAAAGCAACATGCAAACAAGTGCAAATTAATACAGTGCAAACTGAATACATAAGTGCCAAAGAGACACACAAAAAAAGGAGGACCAGAGCTGAGTGAGATTAGTTAGAAAAGGCTGAATGTACTAAAAATAGCATGCCGGGGCCCAAGTTCTGCCCTCATGTCCCAGTGTCCCAGTTTCCATCTTCTTAATGATGGTGGTTCATCCTAAAGTTACAGAAGATTTGTGACCTAAGTGCAAATGTGAAGTAGCCTCTAGAGAAATGCTTAATGGTAGAATAAAGCTCCCAATGGCTCACCCTCCTTCCATTTCTGTATATTGTATATTCCGAGAACAAGAGAAGAAATGTTAAATTTATTAATGGCAGCAATCAAATAACAGTCACAGGGTTTAGACTGAAGACAACTTCCTTCTTCCAATAGGCAATGCCTAAGATAGAAAGGGAGTCCATATTCTAAGACTACAGCTATTGGCTCAAGGTGGTGAAATTGAGTTCTGCCAAATAATAGTTTTCAGGCAAACAAAGAGAAACATTTCAGTTATACAATAATCAGTTACTGCGTACATACTATATTCTAGTCACTGTAGTAAAGGACACTACTATAGTTAAGACTGTGGACTCCTCTACTGGACTGTGAGCTATTTCTCACAGCATCTCTACAGACAGGGACTGTATTTTCTTTTCATCATCAGCCTAGTGGGAAAGATAGACATATAATGATATGTCAGTATATTCAGAACTGTATTAATGGGCTGGTCCATTTATTAGGTAGACGGAAAATAAAAAAATTCTTGAAATGTCAAGTTCAACCTTTCTAGAGGCCAATCTGGCAGTAGTTAACAAAATTTTATATGTACCTAATCTTTGACCAGTCAATTTCACTTTGAAGGCTGTATCCTATAGAAACACTTGCTCAAGTTGAGAAATATAAATGCCCAAGAATGTTCATCCAGTGTTGTCTGTCATAGCAAAAATGTAAATCAACAAGGAAATGGCTGAGTAAATCAAGATAATTCCATATACTGGAATATTATGCAATTGTTTAAAAAAAGAAGTATATCTATATGTGTTAACATGGAAACCATTCATTATTGTTAAGTGAAAAAATCAAGTTGCAGAAAAATATACTATAATCTCAATTATGTAACTTTTTTACTTCTTACTTTAAACATATTCCTATTGTTTGAAATTTTAAACTAAGCAAATATTACTTCAAAATTAGAAGTTTGAAAATAAATTTTATAAACACTGTAAATAGAGTTAAAAAGAAATCAAAGCAAACAGATAATTTTGGGAAGTTAAAGAAGTTAAGCATAGAAGTTAAATTACAAATATCACCATGGAAGGTAATAACCACATAGAGCCTAGAGATACTCCGTGGTGACACTGGTATCTATTTATTGCAGGGGTAGGGAACATCCAGCAGGGNTTATGTAACTTTTTTACTTCTTACTTTAAACATATTCCTATTGTTTGAAATTTTAAACTAAGCAAATATTACTTCAAAATTAGAAGTTTGAAAATAAATTTTATAAACACTGTAAATAGAGTTAAAAAGAAATCAAAGCAAACAGATAATTTTGGGAAGTTAAAGAAGTTAAGCATAGAAGTTAAATTACAAATATCACCATGGAAGGTAATAACCACATAGAGCCTAGAGATACTCCGTGGTGACACTGGTATCTATTTATTGCAGAGGTAGGGAACATCCAGCAGGGTTGGTCTGGCTCTGCCAAGGCAACTGCAGGTGGGACTCAAAATTCAATAAATCTAGGAACTTTTTTCATAGCTAAATTTTAAGTTGATAATTTTGTATGGCCCGTGAATAATGTTATAAATATCTAAAAGGCCCTTGGCAGAAGAAGTTCCCCATCCCTGAATTACTGAGATGATGGGACTTTAAAGTACTTCAAGCTCTTAGTGTCTCACACTCCTAATCTTCCAGAGGACAAGCAATCTTGGTGACTGGGAGTAAAGAGCTACTCCGTGAATAACAAGAGTCTCCTGTCTTAGAAAGTGTTCCCTGGGAACAAATATATGGTGGAATCAAGGAACATCATAAAATGATCAATGCTTAGTAGAGGCAGTTGACAAGAGCACCGGAATGGCTATGCTACAAGCAAAAGACCTGAGGATCCATTTAAAAATGGGTTTCCTATGGCTCTAGCATAGTTTTACGAGAATTTCTCTTAAAATTGTCTGTACTGTGGGTTTACAATCTAATTGTCTGTATTGTGCGTTTACAATCACTAAACTACCTACCAGGAAAAAGTTTCCTACTGCAGACTACCTTCCCAAGCTAGGTGTACCTCCTACTATAAATCAGCTGGTTACTCTGCTCACACAAATTGGTATTACGTGATTACGAATGGCGCACATCAGTTTTTCCACGGGGAACAACTGTGGTTCTTGTTCTGCAAAGCAGAGTCAACAGCAAGTGTTGGGTTGTAATTCTTTGGCTGACTAAACATTTTTTTTGTTTTGTTAATCCTCACCTGGGGATATTTTTTTCCATTGATTTTTAGAGAGAGGGGAGGGAGGAAGGGGGAGAGAGAGAGAAACATCGATGTGAGAGAGACAAATTGATTGGCTGCCTCCTGCACATGCCCTGACCAGGGCCGGGGAGCAAACCTGCAACCCAGGTACGTGCCCTTGACCGGGAATCGAACCCACGACCCTTCAGTTTGTGGGCCAACACTCTAATCACTGAGCCACACTGGCCAAGGCTGACCAAAACTTTTTTTTTTTTTTAATATCTTTATTGATTTCAGAGAGAGGAAGAGATAGAAACATCAATGAAGAGAGAGTCATTAATCGGCTACCTCTTGCACGCCCCCAACTGGGGATCAAGCCCGCAACCCGGGCATGTGCCTTGACCAGAAATCGAACCAGCGACCTCCTGGATCCTAGGTCAATGATCAACCGCTGAGCCACGCCCGGCCGGGCTGACCAAAAGTTTTAAAGCATGTGTACATAATGGTTTAACCACTTGAATTGTGAAGCTTACAACCATATAGGCCTTCTACATGATTGATGCATACGGGTAAGCAGGTCTGCTTTCAAGGGAGAGGTAATATGCGAAAGACATGGCCAAAAGGCAGCTAAGCGCACAATCCCTGTCACAAATTCCCGATGTATTCACAGCTAATATTTCTCACGAAAAAATGAAGCTTTCTCAACGACCAACTCTTGATGAGCTATTCCTTCCTTAAAATGCAGCAGTCAACATCTCAAGGTTAGGTAAAACTATACATTGCAACTTTTAAAAAAACCCAAAACCTTACATTTTTGAATACTAAGAATATCTGGATAAAAACTTACCAACTCATTCTCCTTCACAGTCACACTGAGTTGACTGAATCTCTCTTTTTCTCACACTCTGCACCCAATCCATTTAGCAAATCCCACTGGTCCTAGCTTCACAATATATCACTTTTTATCACCTTCATTGCTTAGCCATCTGATCCAAGCTACCACCTTCGATCACTGGAAATACTTAAAAAGCCTCCTATTGCCCCATCGCTACTCAAGCTCCAGACATGTTTTCTTATACAAGAGTCAGAGTCATCTTTTAAAACATTAAGTCGGATTTTGCCAGTCACCTGTTCAAAACCTCCCAATGGCTTCCCTTGTACCCAGGGTAAATCTAAAGTCTTTATCATGGCCTACAAAGCTCTACATAACACACTGCCTCCTTGAGTTGTCTCTGTCCTCAGTCCCTTGCCCATTCTGTTTCTGCCAAGATGGGATCCTTTCTGTTCCTCAAACACGTTAAGCACGTTCTACTTCAGGGTCTTTTACTCACCACCCTCTCTGAATAGAGTGCTCAGGTGGCTTGCTCCTTAATTCATTCAGCTTTTTGTTCAAATGTTATCTCCTCAAAAAGACCTTCCTTGATCACCCTAACTAGAACAGTGCCCTCAATGTCTTCCCCTTGCTGTTTTTCTTTAACACTAGGCACTAACTGACAATAACTGTCTATTTATTGTCTGCCTCCCACATTAGAATATAAAGTCCAGGAGAGCAGGCATTTTGTTCACTGCTATTCTTCAGACAAGCACTTGGCACAGAGGAGAGCAAGGATTCAATATAAATTTGCTAAATAGTGAAAGAACATTCTGGTTTCAATTATTAGTTGAGTTTGCTATTTCCTTAAATTTCATTTTACATGCCCTGTGACACTACCATTAAAGGTTGAGTAGCTTAATTTTTCTAAAGTTTTTCTGAGCATCTCCCTTTCTGGACCATTTGGTTTGGTCATATGCCTTCTGCTAAGAAAAGCACGAAAAGAACTGAGAGATGGCCTTTGGCTAGTGTACCTGGCAGATGCTGGAGCTACCTAGCAATACCTGCAAAACTAGGCCTACTCTCAACATAGAAGCCAGGGTGATCCTTTAAAAATAAAGCCATCCTTTAAAAACAGAAGTCAGGTTGCTACATATCCTACAAGGGCTCCCTATTTCTCTCAGAATATAATCAGGAGTTCTTACAATGACCCATGGGACCCTGAGAGGTCTGGGTCATTGCCCCTCTGACCTCATCCTGTCCCTTACTCATTCTGCTCCAGCCACTGTTGATCCTCAAACAGACTAGGCCCACTCCCACTTCAGGGCATTTGTCTGACTGTTCTCTAATCTTGAAATGCTCTTCACCTAAAAACCCATGACTAACTCCTTCAAGTGTGCTTAAACATCGCCTTCTCAGTGAGGCTTATACCCGATTCCTCTATTTAAAACCATAACTCAGCAATCTATGCCCTGGCCGGTGTGTCTCAGCTGGCTGGGCATCGTTCTGAGCATCAAAAGGTTGCTGGTTTGATTACTGGTCAGGGCAATCCCTGGAGGGAGGTGTGCAGGAGGCAGCTGATCAATGTTTCTCTCTCTCTTTCTCCCTTCCTCTCTCTCTAAAAGTCAAAAGTATTTCAAAAATAAAATAAAATTATAACTCAGAACTCTTGATTACCCTTACCATGCTCTACTTTTTCTTTTTTCCATGGTGCTTTTGCCTTCCAACATTCTATAAATTTTACTTATTATGTTTATTGTTGTTTTTTTCTTCTCTAAAACGCAAGCTCCATGAGGGCAGGAATGTTTGCCTGCTTTGTTCACTGATTCCAAGGACCTAGACAGCACCTGGCATATAGCAGTCACATATATGTTTGTGATTGAAGGTAAGGAGTCTCCTGGCCTTTATCCTGAGAGATTACTTAGTCTGGGTTGCCTTTAGAGGGGAGATCACCATCACAATTTGAAGTTAATCTAGAAATCATGAGGAGGTAAAAGTATAACATGCAGGAAAACAAAACTACAACCAAAAAACTAGCCTAGGAATAAAAAATCATGGATTTTGTGTTCTAATTTCATTTTCTGAATCAATGTATATGACTGAATAATGTACTTTACTTCTTAGTTTCCCAACTGAAAATCAAGGATAAGAATAATGCCTCATGGGGTGGCCAAAAGGATGAAATGAGATAAAATAAAAATATAAAAATACATGACTATATTTGGAATTCTTATTTCAGGGCTTCTTGAGGTTTAGAAGAAAAATTCCTTCCCCCTTCTCTTAATCAGAAAATTTCTCATTAGGGCTCAGAGCAGGGCTACTTCCCCTAAGTTTTTCCCATTTGGGGGCTCTATAAGCAGATTAATCCAAAAAAGTACAATCATGTGCTAGGCAGTTTTAGAAATATTAATATCTTAGACCATTTAGTAAAGGGGCAGTATGGCACATAAGTGAAACTTAACAACAACAACAAAAGGAACTAACTAAATGATTCATAAGTAAAATGTCACTGCAAAACAGAGAAATGGAGCTGTGTCACTCAGAAACCTCAAGGGTAGAATAGGCTTTGGTAGGTTGTTCGTCCATCTATTTTTATAAATAGAAGAATAGAGCACAGAGTTAAAAAGAGAAACCATTTAAAATAGATATTATGAGAAACCATTTAAAATAGATATTATCCAACAGGCTCTCAATATATCAACTGCTCCTTACCTGGCAATGCTGAAGCTCAATCAGAGCAGCTCTCAGTGGAGATAAAAGCATGCTTTGCTTGAGCCATTTACCCAGAGAGAAATACAGTTGTGCCATAAAAATTTAAAACCAGAGTGAAAGTCAAACTGAGAAATACTTTGGTAAGTCTGAAAAGAAATAAATAACACTTCTATTAACTCTTACTTGGGCAACTTAGTTGGACCAAGTGTTATGTTGGATTGGAAAATTTTAGGGTGAATATAATGAAATTAGAAAATCAAAGTGATATATTTTCCAGGTTTGAGGAACATAAGGAACACATGCTACTGAGTTGATTGTAACACCTAGAGATCCACTTACTATAGCTTAGAAAATAGTTAAGGGGAGACCTAGCCCAATGAAAGAGGGAGAGAGAAAAAAGAAACCATAGTATATGACAGAGTCAACCTTAAGCAATGTTCTCATTCCAGCCCATAGGTTTCTCTCCCTTGACTTGTTTCCTTAAACCAACCTACTTATCTCACCTTAATGGTAAAATTAAACATCCCCAAAACACTGACTACCATTTTATAAAAACTGACTCACATTTATTATATCCTTTTTGTAGTTCTGAATTTATCCAGCTCTCTCAATCCTAAACATAAAGATAAAATGGCTTACAGTGTAGGTAGGTATCAAGCTTGGGTGGAAGAAAACAATCATTTAAAATGATTAAGTTGAGACAAAGAAGCTTTATATTATCCACAAGCACAGATCATAGGGCTAGTAAGTGAACAGACTGTGGACAGCTCTGCCAGGACAGTCATGTTTAGCATGGCTGGTGACCCCGCTCTTCCCTCTTCCAGTTTGTTCCTTGGCAAGGAGAAAAGAAAAAGCCCCCAATGATGACTCGTTTCATCTTACCACATCAATCTCCGTGTTGGAATGTCCCATGTTACAAACAATGCAACTATTCTTCATACGGTCTAAGTGCTCTCTGGTTACCACATTCTTGTTACCTTAAAAACAGAAGAGATAGCCATATAAAAAGGAATGAAGCTGGACCCCCTACCTCACACCATATTTAAAATTTAACTTAAAATGGATCAGAGACCTAAATGTATGAGCTAAAACTATAACACTCTCAGCAGAACATGAGAATAAGTCTTTCTGACCTTGGGTTAGGCAATGGTTTCTTAGATATACTATTTAAAGCACAAGCAACCAAAGAAAAAATAAAATGAACTACATTGAAATTAAAACTTTTGTGCTACAAATGATATCACCAAGAGAGTGAAAAGACAACCCACAGAACAGGACAAATATCTGCAAATCATATAACCGATAAGGAACTTATATCCAAAATTTATAAAGAACTCTTAGTCAACTCAATAATAAAAGGACAAATAACCCAATTTAAAAATGAGCAAAAGACCTGAATAGACGTTTCTCAAAAGAAAATGTACAAAAGAAGATGTACCAATAGGCACATGAAAAGATGCTCAACATCATCAGGAAAATACAAATCAAAACCACAATGAGACACCTACTAGGATGACTATAATAAAAAAGACAGCCCTAACTGATTTGGCTCAGTGGTTAGAGTGTTGGCCTGTGGACGGAAGGGTTCCAGGTTCGATTCTACCAAGGGCACATACCTCGGTTACAGGCTCGGGCCCCAGGACATGCGGGAGGCAACCAATCAATATGTCTCTCTCACAATGATGTTTCTCTCTCTCTCCCCCCCTTCCACTCTCTGTGAAAATCAATGGAAAAAATATCCTAGGGTGAGGATTAAAAAAAACCCACAAGACAGATAATTACAAACATTGGTGAGGATGTGAAGAAACTGCAATTCTCATGCATTGTTGGTGAGAGTGTAAAATGGTCACTTTAAAAAAGTTTGGCAATTCCTCAAAATGTTAAAAGTAGAGTTACCGTATGATTCAGCAATTCTACTTGAAGGTATATACCCAAGAGAACTGAAGACATGTCCACACAAAAACTTGTACACAATGTTTACAGCAGCGTTATTCTTTTTTTAAATTTCATTTTTCAATTACAGTTTGCATTCAATATTATTTTGTTTTAGTTTCAGGTGTACAGCACAGTGGTTAGACAATCATATACTTTACAAAGTGATCCCCCTGATATTTCAAGTACCTACCTGGCATCATACTTAGTTAGTACAATATTATTGATTATATTCCCTGTGCTGTCCTTTATATTCCTGTGACTATTTTGTAACTACCTATTGGTACTTCTTAATCCCTTCACCTTTTCCACCCAGCCTACCAACCCCTCTCCCCTCTGTCAACCATCAGTCTGTTTGTTCTCTGTATCCGTAAGTCTGTTTCTATTTTGTTTGTTCATTTATTTTGTTCTTTAGATTCCACATATAAGTGAAGCCATATGGTATTTGTCTTTCTCCTTTTGACTTATTTCATATAGCATAATACTGCTAGGTCCATCCATGCTGTCGCATATGATAAGATTTCAACAGGGTGTCCCAATACACACTTTAACAGCTGATAACTCAATTTTGAAAAGGAAATGTATTTTAAAAACACTGCATTTATAATTATTCAAAGTGTGTGTATACATTTTTTTGGGACACCATATATATATATATATACCACAGCTTTTTATCCATTTGACTATTAATGGGAACTCGGGTTGCTTACATATCTTGACTATTGTAAATAACACTGCAATGAAGATAGGGGTGTATATAATCTTCCGAATTAGTGCTTGGGGTTTCTATGGATATATACCCACAAATGGAATTGTTGGGTCACCCAGTTGGTTATAGAGAGTTGTCCCAATACACCAAGGTTGCGGGTTTGAACCCCGGTCAGGGCACATATAAAAATTAACCAATGGTCTGGCTAGCGTGGCTCAGCGGTTAAGTATTGACTTATGACCTAGGAGATCACAGTTCAGTTCCCGGTCAGGGCACATGCCCAGGTTTCAGGCTTGATCCCCAGCAGCCTATCAATGAGTTTTTCTCATCATTGATGTTTTTCTCTCTCTCTCTCTCCATTCCTCTCTCGGAAATCAATAAAAAAATATATATATATAAAAGAAACACTTTAAAAAAAATAGAGGGAAAAAAAGGAACGTAAGTATGAGTAATAAAATGGCAATAACAATGTACTTATCAATAATCAAGTTAAATGTAAACTGATTAAATGTTCCAATCAAAAGACATACGGTAGCTGAATGGGTAAGAAAACAAGACCCATATATATGCTGTCTACAAGAGACTCATTTCAGACTATAAGACACACACGAACTAATAGTAAAGGGATGGAAAAAGATATCTCATGAAAATGGAAAAAAAAAGCTGGGGTAGGAATTGCTGGGTCATAAGATAGTTCCATTTTTAATTTTTTGAGGAAACTCCATACTGTTTTCCATAGTGACAGCAGCATTACTTTTTTTTTTTCTTTTTCTTTGTATTTTATTGATTTCAGAGAGAGAGGGGGAGAGGGAGAGAGACATCAATGATGAGAAAGAAACATCCATGATGAGAAAGAGTCATTGATCGGCTGCCTCCTGCATGCCGCCAACTGGGGATCAAGCCTGGACATGTGCCCTGACCAGGAATTGAACTATGACTTCCTGGTTCATGGGTCAATGCTCAACCACTGAGCCACACTGGCCAGGCAGTATTCTTAATAGCCTAAAAGTGAAAACAACTCAAGTGCCCATCAACTAATCAGTGGATAAATAAAATGTGATCTATCCTTAAAATGGAGTATTATTCAGCAATACAAAGAAATGAAATATTGATACATGCCACAACATGGATGAACACTGACATTATGCTGAGTTAAAAAAAAGGCAGTCACAAAAGACTGTATGATTCCATTTACATGAAATGTCTAGAATAGGCAAATCTGTGGAGACAGAGAGACTGATGGTTGCCTAGGGCCGAGGAAAGGAGAAGGGCAGAATGAGGAGGGACTGCTAACAGTATGGGTTTCTTTTGGGGGTGATGAAAATGCTCTGGAATTAGAAAATTGGTTTTTCAATCTGGCCCTGGCCTGTGTAGCTCAGTTGGTAGTGCACCAAGAGGTTGCTGTTTCAATTCCTGGTCAGGGCACATGCCTGGGTTGCAGGCTCGATCCCTAGCGGGGGTGTGCAGGAGGCAGCTGCTTCACGTTTCTCTCTCTCTCCCTCTCCCTTCCTCTCTCTCTAAAATCAATAAAAACATATATTTTTAAAAGTCACTGAACAGTATACAGGGTGAATTTTTTGATATGTGGATTATATCTCAATTAAAAAATCAGATTGTGGTGATAGATATATGAGCCTATGAATTTGCTAAAAAACACTGAACTGTATGTACATTTAAGTGGGTGAAATCTATGGTATGTAAATTAGATCTCAATAAATTTATTTTAAAAATAGATCGATGGATTGATGTGAAGCAAGAATTTTCTTGTGATCCCTCTTCTGTGCCCCCAGCTCTTCCCGAGCCTACATATATATTTTCATTCTTAAATACTCTGATTTTCTTCCTCTAAAATACAATTATAAAAGAAAACCAATGTTCCAACAGTTTATGGTTCTACCATAAAGATAAAATCTCAGTCCAAGAAAACTCGCGATTTCTGCATATTCCTCTCTAAAACTCAAAATACACCTCTTTGGGAATCAACACAACTACCTTTCCCACTTTGTCTATGCATTTTGCTCAACCTTGCTTTAATTACAGGGACCATAGAGAAATATACATCACTTTTGGAGGTAAAATTAAAAAAATCAAATGTACAAATGTAAGATCTGGCTTCCCAAACAAAACTCATCTCCAACCATCTTCTAGATGGTTGAAAATGGGTGGCGATATAAAACAAGAGGTGGGAGGCACCTTCCTCCAGCAAAGACCTAAAGGTACACTTTTGGTCAAGTTCTAAAAAGTAGGAATAATGTGAAAGATGGACCGGTTTTGTAAAACTGCTCTCTCTGGCTTTTAGAGTTCGGTTTTATTCAGAACATTTTCAGTCATTTTTTGCTTGTCCCATAAAAGCGTTCCCAAGTGCCACCCCATTTTATATGCTATAATCATACCTGTACAGGTAATAACAATATCCACTTGGCGGATGACCTCATTCAATTTCACCAGCCGAAATCCATCCATACTGTAGAAATAAAGCACAACCAATTAACCTAAAAGACAGCTGGGGAGCCTTTTGCCACAGAACCCCAAAAGCTATTACAAAGTTGCTTTGGTACCTGCACCGTCCCCTCTTGATACAGCTGGACTATGCTTAGCAGTGACAAAGTCAAACCATTTCCTTAGTTCATACAAGACAGAGATAAAAGGTTCTTTCACATCCCTGGAACCTAATTTTCCTGATAACAGGGAGACAATGTTAACCATGGGATTCCTCAACTAAGTTTCTAGAAAGTGCCATTTTACTATTGAACCTACTCTCATGGAAACTGCTCTCTCCAAGATCATCAATGATCTCCCGAGTGCCAAAATACATTTTTGAGACTCTTATATTACTTCATTTCCTCTGGTATATTAAATATCGTATACATCTGCCTTCTAAAATGTCTATGCTCCTTGGAAAGGACACTGTTTTGTCCTGGTTTTCCTACTTTTCTGATTGCTCCTTCTTGATCTCGCTCCATCTTTAAATGTTGGTACTGTAGGTGCTCTTTTCTCTGTTCTCTCAGCACTGCTCCATCCTTTCCTCAGCTATAAATGACCCCTTGTTGTAGGTGGCTGATTTACACATCTGTATCTTTAGCCTAGATCTCCTCAAAACTTCAGAGCCATTGATCAAATTACTGGACAGCTCTTCCTGGGTGCCCCACAAGGATCTCGAATTGACTGTGTTTGAAAAGAAACCCATTATCTTCTCCACCCCTCCCAATCCCATCTATTTCTCTTTCTATGTTTTCTATATTATTAGCATTACTTGTTCACCCAACTGTACAAGTCAAATAAACTAGAATGTCTGAGCCTACTGCCTCTTCCTAATTGAAGTTGTCACCAAATCTGGCTGATTCTTTTCCCTAAATCCCTTAAAATCTCTTGAATCTCTCCCTCTCCATACATGTTGGCCTTATGTTCAGGTTTTATTTTTTGCCTATATTACTACAGTAGCTCCTGGCCCAATCTCGTCATTTTCTAGGTTTATGCCTCTAATTCATTTTGCAGAGTGGATCTCCCTGAATGCAATTTGGATCATGTCACTTCCTTGCTTAAAATACCTCAGTGAGATTGCCTGCTCTCAGGAAAAGGCCTGAATACCTATACTGATATATGATTATACTGACATAAGATTCCTACCTCAGATAGTATACTCCTTCCAAATGTATCCTACTGGCCAGCTACATTAAAATACTCCAAGCTTCTTAAGTATACTGTGCTCTCTCCTTCCTTGGTGAGTATGGAATTTACTTCCAAACTAAGAAATCACTTACACAAGTTTCAAGACTCAGCTGTACTGACACCTCTTTCGAGCCAGCCCCCTTGCTCTTTGGTTAGATATTTCTCCTGTGTGCCCCTAAAGGAGCATGTGCTGTTTCCCTCCGTCACAGCACTTACTACACTGCACAGTGGTTATTTGTCTGTATCTGTCTTTTCTCGTTCAGTGACTCATCCTTAGCACAGAGCATAGTACCTACCATATAGTAAGTGATCAGTTTATGTTTATAATTTGAATCAGTATTAAAGCAGGTTCAGGTTTCTCTAGTGAACCCTGGAAGTACTAGAATGGTGACGGTTCCCGAGAATAGTGCTGGATCCCTGATTCAGAGAAAGCCAACAACTTTGTTGGGGCAATCTGTGGGTCTATGGCTAGGATGTGTGAGGAACAGTAGAACAGACAGAAATGGTTATGATGAAATCTTTATGCCATGCCTCATTCTGTCCTGGGCACTTTCCTCTGGAGGGTTAATGGTAAAGACTGGGTGGGTTACTCAGGCTGTAGACACTGGGGCTTTGAAGTAGTTTTCAGGGACAGTGCTTTCTCCCTCCTGTTGAGGATGGCAAGAGACAATTTTAATAATAGCTACCATTTAGTGAGCATTTAGTATGTGACAACAGCTCTGTACTTTACATAATTATATGACTATTATATATGATTATACATTATATAATAAATATATAATTATGTTCCTGAACTTTCACAACTCTGAGAGTACCCACATTTTATAGATGGGAAGGACCCTATTCTTTGCTAAACTTTTAATTTTGGAATCATTTCAAACTTAAGAATTGTAAGAATAATGACAAACATCTCCTATATCCCCTTCACTCAGAGTTAGCAGATTTTACCCTTAATTTGGATTTGTCTGATGTGTGCTCCTGATTGGATTTAGGTTAAACATTTTTGGGAGGACTATTACAGAAGAGCTCTTTTCAGTATATCATATGAGAAAGGATCTGGTACCAATCTGGTTCTTTTTTGATTTTTTTCAAAGTGAGAAGCATTATATGGAGAAGGTAAGGAGCTACTTGTTCTCTAGGTCAAGCCAGGGGCTATTTCCAAAGGCATTCTAAATTTTAGCCTCTCTGATAGTCTTCCTTCTCTATGAGCAGAGCTCCTTGATCTCTCAAAAACAGGCACTTACAGTTAATGGCAGCCTCTCTCAGGATCTGGGCCCCTCTAAATTAAAATGTGGTATTAACCAGGCCATTCTTTGGAGGCAGCTACAAGATCACAGATTAGATGTCGGTGTAGAGGGAAAAGCAAGTCTCCTTTTGCACACTTACCAGGCTTGAAGAGCACAGATGGGGTCAATCTCAGTCACATACACAATGGAGCCCATGGCTTTTAAGGCAGCACAGCACCCCTTCCCCACCTAAAAATAGGAGAAAATAGACATAATAAGGAAAGTCAATGAGAAAACAGTTTCTCAAAGCTTCTGGAAAAGTATATGCCACTTTCCGCCCCCAAAGGGATTTTACTGAATAGATTCATGTTTGGGGAAAAATAAGAAAAACAAATAAATGAATGCAGTTCATAAACAAACTCCTAGCCCCTGCTTAGCACGTGCATGTGAATAAAAACACCCACAGGCACGATTTACAATAAAAACTCAGGCTAAAGAACATCACAAACAATACCCTGGAACAGTCAGAGAGTCAGCTTAAGAAAAAATGGCAAAAATGCAGAGAGGAAAAGAAACATTGTAATTTAACCAGAGAATGTCTAAAGTTATTCCCCCTGCCATCTAAAGTGGTAGTAGCCCTGGCTGGTATGCTCAGTGGTTAGAGCGCTGGCCCGTGCACCAGAGGGTCCAGGGTGGTTTGATTCCCGTCAAGGGCATGAACCTGGGTTGTGGGTTTGCTCCCTGGCCCCAGTTGGGGCGCCTGCAAGAGGCAACCAATCGATATGCCTCTCTCTCATTGATGTTTCTCTCTCTCTCTCTCTCTCTCTCACTCTCTCCTTCCCAAACTCCCTCCCTCTCTCTCTGAAAAGCAATGGAAAAATATAACCCCATGTGAGCATTAACAAAATTTTTTTTAAAGTGGTAGTAAATGAATGCACTCTTATGTCCATACAAATGAAAAATTCTAGTTTATTTCAGTGAAATGCATTTTAAACACCTAATACAGTAATTGAAAGGATGAGCCTTACCTCTCCATAGCCACAGACCACCACCTGCTTTCCACCAAACATCATGTCCGTTGTCCTTTTAAGTCTAGTGGGGGAAAAATTACATCAGAAAAATGTTTTCGTTTCTCCCTTGAGATTAGATTAGGTTCCCTGTTTCAAGTTTAATGGTATTTTTTTTCCTATTGTGAAAAAAAAAAGCCTAGTTTCTATTCTAGATAAAATGTTTAATAACTAGAAAGAAAGCTTTAATAAAGTATGTATTTTCTCACTCCCTGTAGCCAATCAATAGCATCTGTACCTGTTTTGTTTTTCTCTTTCCTTTCTTCTCCTTGGCTTAGAAGTGGTGCAGGAGGGAAGAAGCTATAGACTACACAGTAACTTTTAAACATAAAAGCAATATACACTTATTATAAGACATTTGGAATATATAATATTTGGAAATAAAAGATACAAAGAAGAAAATAAAAACAATACTTTCTATATCGAGAAGACCAACTCTGGCTTAATNGAAATAAAAGATACAAAGAAGAAAATAAAAACAATACTTTCTATATCGAGGAGAAGACCAACTCTGGCTTAACGAAAACATTCCAACTTACTGAATTAGACAGACACATAAAATATAACACTGATAGGACAGACACATAAAATATAACACTGATAGGTCAGTAGCACATTAAGTAGTATCACAGTGGACAACAGGTCCCACATTAATTCAATAGGGAGGGCGATGGCCAAGATGCAGAGGACCTTTGAATCACACCAACACTGATGGCATGAGACAGAGCCTTTTCTGGGGCAGATTCCTTCTCAGACATGTTCTACTTCATCTCTGATTCTCTATGAAACCAGAAGAAAGGCCCTTACTGTTTTCAGGGTCTCTTGGAAGAACTTGTAGGAGCAGTTTCTGATTTCTCTTTAGGTTCAGTGAGTCTCCCTTCTCTAGGAATCCCTGGCTAGGTAGAAGAAGGTTTTCAACTAAAGCCAGCCTATTCTGAGATAGACAGTTCCTACAAATATTTGTGGATCTTTCTACTCACTTATCTAACTGTTAACCTCTCTCGTTGAAGAGTCTATAAACGCCCCAAAGTAGGAATCCTATCTTTTTAATGATTTGACAACTCCACCCAAGAGGAACCAGTGTAACTCCCTAAACCCAAATGAAACTCAATATATTAATACCAATTAAGTGCAGAGGCAATTCTTGAGTGGAAAGAGTTAGGCTAGTCTGGCTGGACTATTACCATATCCAAAAGTCGGGGCTTAGGAGAATGGCCCTGGAAGGCCCAGCACAGAAGGAAAATCAATAGATCATATTTCTGAGCCTCCTTTGCTTTGAATACCCTCAGGCCTTTCTGCCTCTTTCCCAACTACACTATCTGTAGTCTTCCCTGACTGCAAATGGCTGTGTGCTGGAAAGGAAACGTCACCAACACTGCTGCTCTGCAAATGACAGGCTGGCAGACCTAGATGGGTTCGGTAGGTGTGATTTCCTGTCATCTTAGGGACCCACAATTGCCTCAAGGTTGGAGGATAAAGGATAGAAAAGACCTCAGTCAAAGAAGGACTTTTTTTGCCCAGCCAGGTGTGGCTCAACGGTTGAGCATCGACCTAGGATCCAGGCGATCGGGTTTTGATTCCCAGTCAGGGCACATGCCCAGGTTGCGGGCTCCATCCCCAGTCGGGGGCGTGCAGGAGGCAGCCGATCAATGACTCTCTCATCATTGATGTTTCTCTCTCTCTCCCTCTCCTTTCCTCTCTCTGAAATCAATAAAGATATATTTAAAAAAAAAGGACTTTTTTGGAGGTTGGGGGTAAGCTCTCTGGTGGTGTATAAGAGTCATATCAAGTCTCCCACATCTAATTATTCTAGCCCCAGGACCCTCTAGAAGAGTTCCTGAAATACAATCTATTTTATGATCGGAAAACCATATCTGGGATATTCTCAGTCTTCCTACCAAGTGGAATCTCAGTCTCCAGAAGATGAAAAATGATAGTTGGATGACAGATGAAATGCGAAAGTGATAGCCAAGTACTAAGGCACCCTTTGCCCAGAGATCTTGCAGGGACCTCATCAGAAGACACGTACTGGCATCCCATCCCCTTTCCTGCCTCCAGTGTTTTCCTTTTTCCTCTGAAAATGTTATAACAGGAATGAGTATTTCAGACCTTTTTGGTTTAAAATAACACAACTTTAGCATCAGGAAGAAAAATTTTGCACAGTGTTTTGGCATTGCAGACCTCTAGGAGTCAGCGGGGCCATTCCCACATAGCTTATGGTGTAGTGTGTAACCAGCTCAGAACAACAGAAGTTCAATCCCTAATCCTTTCCTCATATGAACTCTCTATTGAGCTGAATGTTCTCTCCTTTCCATTGTAGCCTTCCCTGAAGCATACTTCCCCTTTTCTTTAATTCCTTCTGCTCTCAACTCCTCTGAGAGGAACAATTGCCCATGACCCAACTGGAAAGTTCCTCACCACCTGAAGGTGCCAATGAGATCTTACTACTCAGCAGGTTTTCAGTGGATGTTTTCCTATTTCTTCATTAACTTGAACTCTGTTCCATTACTTGCATCTTACTCTCACTTTCATACACATGATATTAAAGAATCTTTCTTACCCACAGGGTAAACACTGCTTAGGAGGGACTCTGTCCATTTTTATGAACTCGTATAGGTACTTTTATGTATCTTTTACTGAACCCAGTATAGGCAGATTTTAGGCTCAGAGAGTTGAGACTTGAAAAACCTATGAGATACTTAGTCATGGATGAGTAAATATTTTAATGAGTATATACCCAAATTATAATTTAAAAGATTTCAAAGCAAAAAGCATCCCTTAAGATCTAACTTAATCTTAGAACTTACTGTACAGGGTTCTAGAAAGAAGAACAAAGGAACTAACACTGAACCAGGACTCATACCTTATCTCAATTAATCCTCACAATAACTCTATGAAGTAGGTGTCACCATTTTACAGGTGAGGAGATAGGCACAGAGAGGTTAAATAACTAGTCCAAATCCTTACAGTTAATAAATGATAGAACCAATAGTTAAACCAGGGTCTTTCTGGCTCCAATGCCTATAGTGTTGCAAACTGTCTGGGGTCCAGATTGGCTGGTAATGTGGCCCACAGGCCTTTTCTTCACTTTCCCATTAACCTATACATGATGGAAACCAACTTCACAGTTTCGAGATAGGGTATTACTGAGTCTTCCTACCAAGAGGAAAGTAATATCAGGGCACAAGTGTAGAAACAGAAATGGGTATTGGAAGAACAGAGTATTTGGTATATATCTAAGTAGATTTTGTCAGACTTGCAATCCTTATAGATTTAAAAACTAGAAATGCCTCTGAGAATTGACTCTTTGCTCACCACAACTTTTCAGATGGCAAAAGAATTATGACAGTTGGAACTTAAGAACTGGCAGTATGACCTAGAATAGAAACATCAGGAACCTTTTCCCAAGCCATCAAAGATACTTACATGTTTAAAATGACTTTAGTTAGTTACTGTGAGTCCTGTTAGAGTCACCAAGTAAAAACTCTGGACCAACAGACAGAATCTAATCTGATTTTTTAAGTAAAATAGATTTTCTTACAATAGTGATAGCAATGGTAGCTCTGGGTTATAAAATCTGAGTGTGATGTGATGATAGATCCAGAGGTGCTACATAAATAATTTCCAGAAATAGCCAAAATCAAAACACTTAGGAGCCAGTTCAACAACTCAAGTTCATCCCAAAGATAATAAAAAATTACCCATCAAGAATTGATTCACGGCAACAGTAGAGGTTGTCAAATTTCTGTTTGGTGACTGAGTCATTGACATTCATGGCTGGAACACACAGCTTCCCAGCTTTAGAGAGCTGGTACAGCCTGAGGGTGAGGGAAATCAAGAAGAACATAAAACAATGAGATACTGCAATCTACTGTCAATTTCATACCAAATTCCAGAAATATGTTGACTGGGTAGGCATGAGAGCATGAGACATGACTAATCTTATTAGATATATAGAGAGAAATAAAGAATATCTTTCTAGTGTATATATAACTTAGAATAAAGATCTTAGTCAAAAGGCATGTGGGGAAAATTTCTGACCCACCTCTAAATTATAAGGATTAAAATGGATGATTTTAAATTGCTTATTAATCTTATTCATCTTTTTAATTATAAAAAATTAACTTTAAGTACTATTTTAATCCCACTACTCTAATGCAACAATTTTAACTTCCAAACAGTCTCAATTTTATAATCTCAATACACATACCTATAAATATGTATATCTGTATTATAGGAGTTTTATTTAAACTGATTCAACTAAGTATTAGAACCAGGCGTTTTATTAAAAACTCATCCCTTTCTAAGAGTCTGAAAGTACAGTCTAGCCCATAGTTTTGTATATTCAAAAAGATCACAGAATATTGAAGCAGTGATGGTGGCTTATTCAGAATTTACTTCCCTAAAGCTTGTATTTCATACTTTCAGTTCTTTCTGGGTGAATAATAATTTTACTCAGGGAATTACTGGCTCATTTGAGAAAAAGAACCCAAAATCCTTGCTTAAGAATATACGCATATCAAGGCCCAGGTTTCTGTCTGTTTTGCCTAGTGCTAGATCCCTAGCACGGTTCTTAGAGCTGTTCCTGGTTCACTGTAGAAGTTCAATAAATATCTGTTGTATAAATGAATTCATCCAAAAAAGGACAAGCAGTTATTGTATTACAATGACTAGAAAATATGTGGAGCACACTTGTTCCCTACCCGCCCCCACCCTCACTATATTAGGTTTTTATTTATGTTGTTAATCAAAAAAACAAGTGTGCAGACTCAGATCTCATTACCTCATAATGGGTTCCAATTTTTAACACAATGTATTCTACAGGTAGGTGATTACAAGAATGTATGTTTAGGTTGCACAAAACCAGGTATGCTCATGTCAAATCTTACCTATGAACTCCAGTTACACTCTCCTCTACGATGCCCTTGATTTTCTTAAACATGTTGGGGTACTTCTTATAAATCCAGTGAGTGAGATCCCCTCCATCATCCAAGATCTGCAATTATAAGCATCAATAATATCATTCATTTTGCTGAAGGCTCAATGTTTCCAGTGTTTCTCTGGGTTTTATATCCCAATTTCTAATTGTCAATTGACAGATATTTCAAATCTCCCACATGGTTATGCAAAGTAACTCAAAGCCAGTATAATGACCAAACAGTTATTAGACTGAAGTAAAAGACAATGAGGGGTGAAAGACCAACTGAAATTCTCACAGTCAAATGACCTTTCCACATGACCCACCTAATAAAGCAAAATATACAGCATTACAATGAGGATTTTCTTATGGACTAATAACTCAAGTGGTTATCTAAATCACTAGTTCTTTTTTAAACATTTTTTAATTTATTGATTTGAAAGAGGAAGGGAGAGACAGATTGGTAGATAGGCAGATAGACAGAAACATAGGTTTGTGTTCCACTTATTTATGCATTCATTGGCTGCTTCTTGTATGTGCCCTGACCAGAGATCAAATCTGCAGCCTTGGAATATCGGGACGAAGCTCTAACCAACTGAGCTACCTGGCCAGGGACTAAACCACTAGTTCTTGAAGGTACTCTAGATATTCAGAAAGCCTAAATTTGATATTAGAATACTTCTATTCATTAAATTTAGGGCTTTAAATATAACCAGTCAAAGCTTAGTTTAGAGCCCGATAATTATTCCCCCCCCAAATAACGGATCATAAAACTACTCATTAATCCCTTACTTCTCCCGAAGTACAGGCCTCTCCTATCCAAAATATCAGGCAGTGCGGTAGGGCTTTGCCTAGCACAACTTCACTTTCTATAACCACATTAAAAATAACTAGGGAACTGCGCAGCATGTAGGTGTGCAAGCAGGCCTCTGAACAGCTCATCACTATTTCAGGTTGGGATTCAAGATAAACACAATGCTGTGCCCACTGGAGCTTTCATCAGCAGAGGAAAGTTTATGAGTTATAAATAAGCTAAAGAAAGATCAGCTTAGAATACTATTAGGCACCAGGCTGTGGCATTTCAGCCTTTCATTTAGCTGTTAGAAATGCTTGGCAGGACTTTCCAGATTGTTATAGCCATCCTCCTGGAAAGTCCCACAAAACTGAGTGGCCCTCTACTGGCATGCACCCATTTTGCAGTTCATCAATTATCAACTCTACTGCAAGTGCCAAAAATGCCACCCTGGACCTCTGGGCACACAAAATCCCCAACCTCACGTCTACCACCTGATTTCTTTTTTTGCTTCTGCTCTTACTATTGATCTATTTTCTCTGATTCAACTAAACCTTACTTGAAAGCAGGGATCCAAGACAGAGCTCTCATTAAAATGCTACACTTGCTCCATACTATAAGTTTGTGCTCCATTTTCTCCCAGTAGAAACCCTCAGAACAGGTGCCCTAAGAAACAGAAAGGCTCCTCTGAGTTTCTCTCTCCCTTTCTGCATGTATGAAATCCCTCATGGAGTTTTCCCTTGCAGCTTCTGATTCCCTAGCCACACAAAAAAATCAGAGAGAGAAAAAAGATCGAGCAATTGGAAACTCTATGTCTTAAGTCCCACTATTCTCAAACACTTTTCTGGAAATTTTAACAAAGGTAACTAACACAGGCATGTAGATGCTATCCCTAACATGTACTTAATGAACATAGCCCATAATCCTCACCATGGAACAACTATACTGCAGAAAATTCTTGTCACCAGGAAATCTTCCTGAGGTTGGAAAGCAAGGAAAAGTACTAGATCTTGACAGAATCCAAAGAGATATGGGTCCTGTTTTGGGGGGGTAACAACTGTTTTAAGCCTCGTCTTACCCTCTTAATTGTCCTTTCCAGAAATTTGGCTCTACAGTCTATAAAAGCTCTCTGGGAACAATCCCATGTCCTCCCTGTGCTCATGATTATAAAATTACTGTTACATTTCCAGTAGAAATCCCCTGGCATATCTACTTTAGTCCCTTTCAGTCATACCCCCTCCTGTCACTGTTAACCCCTGTTGGAATGAGCTGACTCATCTTGCAGGGGACTCCTCCCCACCTTTCAGGACATGAGGCTTTAACCAGCTTCCTCAAACCAGCACTCGGTGTGATCTGAATCACAGAACCCAGAAAGTGGGGCTGCTTTTCTCTGCTGTGTACGAGGTGAAGCCTACTCTGCCGCATTTAGCAGCCAGCAAGAGTTAGGCTACAACTTCAGGGATTCTTTTTTAGTTGATTCCTTAATTTCTCTTCACACATGCAGAAATGTTTGTAAAGTAGGAGTGCCTCATACTTTGTGCAGCTTTTTTCTTCTTTGTGACTCTAATATGCTATCGGCCTTCAAGAACTTGATCTTTTAAAAAAGTAAAACAAAAATTTTAAAAAGCAAAAATTAAAAACCTAAAACTTTACCTAGTTATCTTTCTTAAAATGGAGAATGAATAAAGAGAAGAAATTTGAATTTGAAAATCCTTCGTGTTTACTATAAATTTAGCACGATTCTAGAGAGAAAGCTAGTACCACAGGAGGGGTGTGTGTGTAAATGTGTGCATGTTCAATTATTGTTGTTAGGGGATGGTAGTGAGAGGTGGTAAGGAATGGTAACACATCAATCTNTTTACTATAAATTTAGCACGATTCTAGAGAGAAAGCTAGTACCACAGGAGGGGTGTGTGTGTAAATGTGTGCATGTTCAATTATTGTTGTTAGGGGATGGTAGTGAGAGATGGTAAGGAATGGTAACACATCAATCTTACTTTTTTTTTTAAAAATATATCTTTATTGATTTCAGAGAGAGGAAAGGAGGGGGAGAGAGAGAGATAGAAACATCAATGATGAGAGAGTCATTGATCAGCTGCAGCCCGCAACCCAGGCATGTGCCCTGACCGGGAATCGAACCCCGATCGCCTGGATCCTAGGTCGACGATCAACCGCGGAGCCACGCCGGCCGGGCTCAATCTTACTTTTTAACCAGTCATGTGTGAATGCTGAGCAGTATTTTTTTTTAAATCCTTACCCGAGGATATGTTTTCTTGTTTTGTTTTGTTTTTATTGATTTTACAGAGAGATGAAGGGAGAGAGGGTGAAGGAGAGAGGGAGAGAGAGAGAGAGAGAAAGAGAGAGGGAGAGAAGCAGAGAGAGAGACAGGAGAAACATTGATGTGAAAGAAACATTGATCGGCTGCCTTCCATATGTTCCCAGACCTGGAACTGAACCCAAGACCCTTTGGCGCAGAGAGCGACACTCCAACCAACTGAGCCACCCGGCCAGGGCTGCTGAACAGTATTTTAATGTTGCTGATGAATATGAATGATTCTAAGATCAGCACTAACAATTACAGCATATTGAGGCTATAAAGAGATTCAATATTCTTGATGTGCCCTGAGCATAGGCATCTAGTTTTGTCAGAAGCCCAGGTAATCAGATAGAAAAGAAGTCATTTTCCTTCTGTCCTGTTGGGAAACCCTCTCCTAGGCCAGAGCCTCCCTCTCTGCCCCACCCCTTACAGAATTGTGCGAGAAGAAATCTAACCCACCATGTTTGGCTGCCAGCCTTCCACGTTCACACATCTATCAATGCACCACCAAAAGTCATCTTCTGACTCTCCTTTCCAAGCAAAGACAGGAAATCCTGAGAAAAAGGAACAAAGAGAAACCATTAAAACCTAACAAAAGGGGCTGGCCCTCAATTCTGGCAAGATGCTGGCTTTCCTCAATTCTGCTGTACTCCTTGGATTGACTTTCTTCACTGATTAGTATTGTCTTCAGCTCCCTGTCTACCCCTTTGTCTTTGGTGGTCATTTTGCTTTGTTTTTATTGATTTTACAGAGAGAGGACAAAAGGGACAAGAGTATGATAGATGCTAAAAATATGACTAAAGGGCCAAAAGAAGAAACTAGAGAGAAGTACTTCTTGATTCAGTCCAACTGGCATTCTCACCATTTCCCAACTACACTCTGCTCTTTCTTACTTCCATTCTTTAGTCATCCCGTCCTCCATCAGGAAAAACCTTACACTCTTGTCCATCTGTTAAAACATTTATTATACTTCATGGCCAGTTAAGTGTCATGTTTCCCAATAAAGCCTGATTAACTCAGCTGGAAGTGACCTCTCGTGGAATCTGAACTTTTATAAACCCTGTTTGAGTGCTGAATTTGGATTTATGATCTGTTGTGGCATTTATCATCTATGCTCTTGTATTATCATTCTCTATAAATGTGTCTTTTCTTCTCGAGGACAATATAAGATTCTGAGGGCAAAGACACTGCCTTATTTGTCCCTAATACCTCTTATAGGAGGCATAGTAAGTATATATTTAATATTTGTGTATTTTTCTCTATATATTTTACACATTAATAAAATTTTTATAAGTGCATGAATATAAATGAAAGAACAAATGAAATGCTGAAAGTGCTAGCAAAAAAAGAGACATGCATGCACTATCCAGCTTTCCCTGCATTTCTCAAGAGCTCTCAAGCAAGGGTTTGGTTCCTGGATCTGTGTTGTGCTGCCAGGGAGTGAAGAGAGAAACTGGCAAAGTCCAAATTTCTCTATTTCTTTTGTCCTTCAAATGTCAGTGGCTGTTGTGATCAAATATTAATCTTCTAGGTCAAATCCTGTTTGCTGCCGAAGCAGAAGCACCAAACATTGAATCAGGGCAAAGTGCTGAAAAACCAACAGGACCACAAAACTATGCCTGAAGCATTTTCTTTTTTAATCCATATTACCTTAGACAGTGAATAGTGCTCACTGTCTAATATTAGGAAGATAAGGCAAAGCATTAACTAATAAAGGATTATTAGACATAAGAAGGTATTTGCGACTGTAAATATCTTCTGTATGGAAGCAAGAAAGATCAAAGTGTAGTTGGGAAATGGTGGGAATTCCAGTTACCAGGTAATTAGTTAATAAAGTTACTTAGATCGTATTTAACAAGAGAAGTCCAGAGAGAGAGCAAACTCATCAAAAATAGGGACCCATTTCTACGAAGACAGCTCCTTTAATGTCAACCTTTCTTAAAGATTTATATTGAAATAATGGAACTTTTTGGAGACTCACTTTAGCCAAAGACACAGAGAAAGGGCAAAGATCTTACCACTTTCTGCTAAAGCAGCAGCCACTTCATTGAGAGTGGAATAGATGTTGCAGGCAGCCCATCGGCACTGTGCCCCCAGAGCACCCAGAGTTTCCATCAGCACCTATATTAAAGAGAAAGCATGAGATGAGCAAGCCTGAGCCAAACAATTGGTCAAGGAGATTAAGTTTATATATTTGACAGGAAGAAATTTTGGGGCCCAAAATTTTCAAAGTGTGTTCTACAGAAACTAGTTAGTATTTCGATAAGAGGTCAACAGTTGGGGGTAGGCATGGGGGAAGGCTCCAGCCGAGCTCTGTGCTCTATGAGTTTACCAAGTTAACATACTGAGCCTCTCTGTATGACTTAATTAAACCAAGGATTTCAGAGTCCAAACATTTCTTAAAAATCATCAATTTATAGCTCTGTTTCTTCTTAGTATATAGAAAGCTACAAGAGAAGCTCGTACCCTAACAAGAAAAAGCCAGATGGTCTACAAAACTGTAACTTATCTTGAGCCCATCAAACAGCTGAAGTCATAAAGCTACCCAGTGATCTGAACTGCACAGAGTGACACATCCCTTTAAGGAGAGAAGGAGCAGTTTTACCTTTGGCAAAGCACAGGAAAAGAGGTGGCTGGCATACATTAGAAAAAAAAAAGTAGTTATAATTGTAATGAGTCAGTAAATGAGTGTGGAAGAGTGTGTCAGTTTGGAATTTCTGGTAACTACAGGCACAAGGAGATTTCACACTCACATCAAGCTCTTTTCCAGGGGCTTCCACCCAGCGCTCCCAGGGAACACTGGCTGTGCTCAGACAGGCAAGAAACCTGCACACTTCCCCATAATCTCTCATAGGAAGCAAAGGCCTTGAGCTGTAGGAGCAGGAGCAGGAAATATGCCTGCCGCCAGGGATCAGGCAGAAAGTCTCTGCTAGTGGGGGAGGAGCAGGAAAGCTTCTCGGGCCTGGACAATCCACTGATACAAAGTAAAGATCTGCTACTTCTCCAGGAGGGGCAGGAAAAAAATCTGCTCAAGATCTATCACAGATACAAGGCAAATAGTGGCTGCTACAGAGAGGAGAGGTGGGAACACTGCAAAAGTCCTCCCTTCACAGGGGCCTGCGTAAGACTGAGGCTGGATCAGAAGATTCAAGAATCCTACTTGTGCTCACCAGGAGCCTAGCTCCAGGAAACAAGTCTAGTGTTACAGGTGTGCATGCACTTGAAGAAAGCCTCCCCCCACCACACCGGCTTCCCAGCAAGCACGTGCAGAAGCAGCTGAAAGCTGAGGATGAAGCCAAAAAACTCAGGACAGCCCTCTGGTAACCTCAATTCACAAGGTAGCAGCAGCCCCATTGCTAGAGGAATTTGAATCCTATAATGCAGAACAACAGAACTGAAATCCAGCCCAATTCATGACAATAATAGAAAATAATATACTACTGTTCAATATAAAATTTTAAGATACACAAAAAAGTGAGAAAGAACAACCAAATGTCAAAAAATAAAGTATTCAAGACTCTGTGATGAGCTAGATGTTTGAGCAGACAGGAACTTTAAATTAACTACAATTAATATGTTTATGTTAAGGGATGTAGTGAAAAAGATGGACAATACCCATGAATAGATAGGGAATTTCAGCAGAGAGATAGAAACAATAAAAATAAGCCATATAGAAATGTCAGAAGATGTTTTTTAGAAAGGTATCAGAGATTAAGAGCTCTTTCACCAGGCTTGCTGGTGTGGCTCAGTGGCTGAGGGTTGACCTATGAACCAGGAGGTCATAGTTTGATTCCCGGTCAGGGCACATGCCCGGGTTGCGGGCTCAGTCTCCAGTAGGGGGTGTGCAGGAGGCAGCCGATCAATGACTCTCTCATCGTTGATGTTTCTATCTGTCGCTCTCTCCCTCTCCCTTTCTGTCTCTGAAATAAAAAAATAAAAAATAAAAAAAGAATTCTTTCATCAGGTTTATCATCAGACTGGGCAATAACTGAGGATAGAACTTAAAGACAGATAAACAAAAATCACCAAACTGAAACATAGAAAGGAAAAAGAGTGGAGGGGAAATCAGAAGGGAGCATCCAAGATCTATGGGGTACTTTCAAATGGCAAACATACATGTAATTGGAGCCACAGAAGAAGGAGAAAACAGGGCAAAAGAAATATATGAAGAGTTAATGGGCAATTATATTTGGAAATTAATGAAGGAGGATCCAGGAACAATGACATCCCAACAGCAAAGAGCACATCAGTGTACAGGTCCACTAAAAAACAGGGCTCCTTGTAGAAATGGCTGATTCCAGGAGTAGGACAGAGAATGTACAAGCTGAGTTTAGGTCATCTTCCTTACCCTAAGCAAAGAAGTGCTCAAAGAATAAAAGAGATATGCCAAAAGACAAGCCACAAAAGCCAGACTGAAGGGGCTCCCCCTTGGTCAAAATTTGAACAATTTGGGCATCATAATAAATAATGATAGCAATGGATTATAATCCATTAAATAAAATAGGAAATAATGACTCCATACAAATAAAATAAGCAAATGAGTGAATAAATTGAAAGTTTGATGAAGAATTGGATATTTACACAGTTTCATATTACTACTGCACAAAATACTTATTCATAATTACAAAGAGGGAAAAATAATTTTTATAATGGAAAAGTCTGCCAGACACCACCTCAGTCAAGGGGTCAAAATGAACATCAGTGGAACAAATAGAAATCATGTGTCACCTGATGAGATTAAATTTTAAAAATGTAGGCTCACTTCTTACCCAAGATGCAAAGCCTGAATCTAATAATGAGGAAGTATCAGAAAAGTCCAAATTGAGGACATTCTATAGAATAATTTGTCTATAATCTTCAAAAGTGTCAAGGTCATGAAAGTCAAAGACTAGAGGCTGTTCTGCACTAAAGGAGACTAAAGAGAAATGACAATTAAATGAGATACAGAGCTATGAACTGAATCCTTTTATTATAAAAAATATTGGGATAACCAGTGAAACTCAAATGAGGTCTGAGAATTAGATGGCAATAATGAATCAATGTTAATTTCCTAATTTTGAATGGTTGTATAGGAAAATGCTCCTGTTTGTAGAAAATACAAACTGAGTATTTGTGGGTGAAGGAGCATAAGGTTGGCAACTTTCAAATGGTTAAGAAAAAAGTTATTTGTAGCATACTTGCAACTTTTCTATAAATCTGTTTATTTCAAATTTTAAAAATATTTTTAAAAATTTTACCCACTGATTTGATCCTGATTTGTTTTATTTCAATATTTAAGATGGAGATAGGGTTCTTTTTTAAAAGGTAGTATATCATACCCTACTGCTTTAAGAGCTATTTTAACAATGATAAAGCTTTGGTTAAAAAGCTTGTTTTGCAATTTCCTGACAGTGGTTAACTCTGAGTACTGCTAATTTTCATTTTTAAAAGTCTGTATTAGTATAATTCTATACTAAATGAAAATTCTAATTAAAAATAAGCTCTAATTTTTTAAAAAACCAAACACCTGCAAACAACTCTACTAACGTAGGCTAACCCCTCATGTAATTTGTCCAAGGCACAGAGTGAGTTAGTAGCAGAACTGCTCATATCTCTAAATGTCTAGTCTACGCTACCTTTCAATATCTGATTCCATTTTTTTTCTCTCTTTTTTTATTTTTCACCTTAAAGAATTTCTGAATTCCTACAACTGGGAATTCTGAATTTGTCAAACAAAAAAATGACACAGACACTTACCTACAAAGCAATTTAAATTAACTATAAAAGTCATTGGGACCAAGAATATAAAAGCTGTTCAAAGAACTCTGAGTCAAGACTGCTGGCTATTAGGGCTCAAGCAGGAGCGAAGGCAGGTAGGAGTGAGAGGACAGAGCTTAGAGCCCAATTTTCAATCACTACCACTTAGGAGTAGCTAGGAAACCTGGTTAGAAGCAACTATGAAACATACCTAACAATATAAATCGATCCAAGTCTACTAGAAACATGGATAGGAAACTGTTAGCTATAATAGTTAATTATAACTCTACCAATGTAGGCAAACCCCCTCATGTAATAGTGGGGTTACCTACAGCCAATCAATGTGTCTCACATCGATGTTTCTCTCTCTCTCCCTTCCACTCTCTCTGAAAAACAATGGAAACATGGGATTATAGGAGACTGTCTTTCTACATTATAGATTATGGTAATGTTTGAATATAGTAAAATGAGCATGATTGCTTTTGTAATCAGAAAAATAAAATAATTAAAAATAAAACAAAGCAAAATTCCTTTCTAATTAATTTTTAAAGGAAAAAAAAATGTGAGGAGAGTACATTAAAATAATGTTAAATTGGTAAACTAGTTTTGATTAACTCTGATTTTGATTACTCCATGAAAAGGTAGAAAGGAACCTTGAAGGGTGCTAATGTTCAGTGAGCCAGGAGGTAAAAAAGAACCTAGATATAATTTAGCAACATGAGACAGTACAGAAGCACTTACTATTTTAAGCCACTACACTGAAGTCTCATGTCCCTGCCTGGGAAAGCCCAAAAAAGGTTCAAAGAGTATTTCTGCCTCAATTCATTAGTCTATAGCTCCAAAAAGAGAAAGCTTTTCAATTTATTATATTAATTTTGGGCTGCAATCTTTTCCTCAGAGAGCATGTAACCTAGAAAAGTCTCATAGGGAAGATGCTAACAGCAGCTGTGTCTTGAGGAATCTCGCTGTTCTTAAGGAATGTGGCCACATAAGTGTTGTGCTTCAGGAGGCAATCTTTCGGAAGTTGATCTGGCTATAAAATAACCTGGATCTTACAAATCCTACAAAAAATTCTGGACCGTTTCCCAATACACCAATTTCCTGTAGTGGTCTCATTGTGGTGGGCAACTCAGTATCTATTACATCTTTGATGGTGACTCTAAGTCAGTGGTTCTCAGCAGAGGAACTTTGGAAAATTGTGGGGGCATTTTTGGTTATCACAGTATTTGGGAGGGGAGCGTTGCTGGCATTTAATGGGCAGAGCCAGTTTCAAAGTGCAAGACAGTCTTTTACAAGAAACCGTGCCACATCTCGTACAATTTTCAAATGTTCCAATGAAAAGTTCACATGAGTGAGAAACCTATTTATAATTATCTGAGTTTAGAACCTTGTTCCATTTCACATATTAACAAACAGTGTTTTTGCAGTTTTAATACAAAATAGTAAGTTTTTCCAAGAATGCAACTGTGTAAATGAAAACTCATACTTTTTGTTATTATTCAGAAATTTACAAAAAGTTGCTATAATCATATAATTTGGCCCTAGCTGGTTTTCTCAGTGGTTAGAGCATCAGCCTGCAGACTGAAGGGTCCTGGCTGGGTTCCCTTCCAGCCAAGGGCAACTACCTCAGTTCCAGGCTTGATCCCTGGCCCCAGTTGGGGTGTTCGTAGGAGGCAACCAATAGATGTCTCTCTCTCTCTCTCTCTCTCTCTCTCTCTCCCCTTCCACTCTCTCTGAAAAGCAATAGAAAAAACATCCTCAGCTGAGGATTATAAAAAAAAAAATCATATAATTTGGCAATGCTATTCTGATGCTCTAGAACTAATAGCAGTTTCTATCTATCTACATATAGCACTTTCATTCAAATAATGCTATGAGTAAGTACAAATATCTGACTGTTCTACTGTACTTGTACCCAAGCATTTTTATATTGAAATACACATTATTTTATTATAAATTATTTTCCTTTTATTCTTCCTTCATATTTCAGTTAAAATTTTATGTTGATTTTAAAAAATTGTAGTAGTTAAATAGGTTCTATCTGAATTCATTTCAAGAAAATACAGACAGGGGCATTGCAAAATATTTTTTTATAAAAAGGGGACGCTGACTGATAGGGGTTAGAATCATTGGTCTAACCAATCATGGTAATCCCAGTCCCAGGACTGGGGCAGGGGCATGTGATCCAGTTCTGCTCAATGAGACATGATGGAGTATCCTGGAGGATTTCTGGGAAAGGTTTCCTTGCTCTTGGGAGAGTGGGAGAAATGGTGCTTCTCCTTCTTCATGTCAGTTTGTGATGGCTTGAAGAGCTGTAACCACCTTGCTATCAGCTTGAGGGTGAATTAAATGCGGTGACAAGGCAGCTCCAAGACAGTTACTGTCAGATGAAACTGGAGCCCTGAGATCCTGCATCTGGACTTCTAGCTTTGTAATGTAATAAACTCCTTTATGTATAAGCCAGGTAGAATCAGGTTTCCTCTTATCTGCAGCTGAAAGCAGCCTAACACAGCGTTGCCTTGTAGAAATGACACTGGAAGGGAAGATAAGGGGACGCAGTGTAGGATAGAAGAGAAAGCATAAGCATGGAAATCAGGCATATTGAAGTTCAAAAAAATTTTTTTTAAAGATTTTAAAATTGATTTTTAGAGAGAGGGAAGGAGAGGGAGAGAGAGAGAAACATCGATGTGAGAGCCATACACTGATTGGCTGCCTCCTGCATGCCCCCTACCTGGGATCAAGCCTGCAACCCAGGCATGTGCCCTGACTGGAATTGAGCTGGCAACCTTTTGCTGTACGGAACAATGCCCAGCCCAATGAGCCACACCGGCCAGGGCTGAAGTTCAAATCTGGATTCTATGATTTACTAGCTGTATCGCCTTGGACAAATTACTTAAACTCTCTGAGCCTCAACTTCCTCGTTCATAAACTGGAACTAGGAGTACCTGCTTTACACGGCCATTATGAGGATTAATGAATTAATACTTGTTAAGCTCTTCGCCTAGCACTTGGCAAGCTGCAAGCACGCAATAGCTGGGGCTGTTATTAACTATTGTTACGTGGGGAAAGGAAAAAGACTTACAGCAGTCTGAGCGGTGATGTGTGTGCAGCCCACAATTTTGGCTCCAGCCAAAGGTTTTTCTCCTTGAGCTCTCTTCCTCAAAGCCATCAGTGCAGGCATTTCTGAAAAGGCCCAATACATAAACAGCAAATTAGAGAGGAAGGAATGAGAAAGAAAGAATAAAGAGAAAAACTTATTCTCTTAAGGTAAGACCCTTCCCCTGCTGAGGTCCCCTGTTAGATTAGGTCTCTTAAGGGATCAAGACAATAAACCTGATCTTTCTAAGGGACTTTCAGAGGCGAATGCTCCAGTGTTCTGATTCCCTATATCCCAGCCCTCTTTATCTGGTCTCTCTCCATTTTCCTAGTAGAGGGGTTCCTTCTAGACCAGCCAGAGTTTACTCCCTCCCCACAGTGTTTCCTGGGCTCAGATTATTTTTTTTGTTATAAGTAGTCTTCCATATCACAATGAAATTTCACAAGCTACTAGGCCCCAGGCCCTGAAAGGCAATTAATATAGACCAAAAAAATACAGGCAGCTTGGGAGGAAAAAGTGCTTGCTTTCCTTACCTTGTTCGGCAATTTCAATCTCTCTTCGTCCAAACTCTGCCTGTTTGATGTTCTTGACACAGAAGTCACTGCTTCCCTTAGAATTCTTTTGCTGCTTGTCCCTGGGAGATGTCTCATCATCAGAGCTATCTGTATATGATGCAGCTGGAAGCACAGAACGAAAAACCCTCAGGGGAAAAAATAGCTTCCTTGAAAGCTCCAACCCATGGAGGAACTGAGGCTTCCCCAGTCATCAGCATCATACACATTTACACATCTGGTGAGCACCTAAATGGCCCTGTGGAGCTGTCCCGATCACCTCCTATGGAAAGACCTACCCAGAGGTCAGAAAGAGGAATCTGAGAGAAGTCGTCAAAGACATTCCCTCTGGATAGCATTCACTTGGAATCCAGGGCTGACTTTATTTTCAGAACACGAGAGGGTCCTGAATACGCAAAGAGAGATTATACCGTGGAAGCAATAGGTTAAGTTCTAAATGCAAGGTCCCAGTCATGAACCCGGGGGTGTCTGGGATCCTAGCTACCCTTCTCAGTCTGCTGCTTAAACGCCTGATGTAATTTGTGTTTTAGTACAATAACTAAACAGATAAGACTTAGAAAACAAGGAACCCGTGGGAAAGTAATTAAGAAACACACAAAAAGTGTTTGTCTGATATAACAGAGCTTTCTTTTTTAAGGCTGGCTCTGATGAGGCTGAACTATGCCTGCAGAGCCAATTAGACACCGACAATGAAGTATTCAGCATGCTCTCTCCCTTCTTGCTGGCCTCAGTGGGTCCTGCATCAGGCATTTTAGACTCCCAAAGAAATGAGAAATTCTCTTTTGGTGTAATAAAATGCTCTGATGACAAATCCATTTAGCAAGACACACTAGATGGTGAAAGGTATGACTTCTGATTGTGGCTAATAGGCAGCTGCTGCTGCTATGCCCATGTTCAGCTAAAGTCTTCCTAGTCTTCATTTAATTCTGAAGTTGCTGATTGTTTGTTGGATGCTATGAATCATTTTCCTTCCTTGATTTATGTTTAAGTTTCTGTGGATAGTTTCTTCCTAAGTAGTCGTCAAGGTTTTGGGGGAGGAAGGTTGGGGAACATAAAGCACTGTCTAGAAAGCATTTTGCATTTCCCAATGAGATAAGAAGAACTTCCAGCACTTTGAAGGGGAGAAACCTGCAAAATCTCAGAGCTCTTAAGGTCTCTAGTACTCTGATCTACTTATATCCAGAGAATTAAGACATTTCTGAGATTTCTTAGCAAAGGGTCTATCTCTGGGAGGGCTGTAAAAGGCAAGTCTGACCTTGCCCGGTTAATCAGGCATGGCACTACAAAATGTTTGGGCAGCAGGGGCCTCGGCATCTCTCTTGGAGCTGGAAAACAGCCTCAGAGCAAAGTCCTAACACGAGGCAACAAGAATGAACTTGGGTCACTAGGGGAGGTAAGGGAATTAATAAATCCCCAAAGAGACTTTTGTTCTTGAAAGGAGCTAATCTGTACAAAATGTCTAGGGTTCTCCCCCCTAGGGTGAGTGAGAGCTCAAAGTACCTTTGGCAAGAGAGCCCAGAAACAGCTCCCTGGGCAGTCATCTGTTTCACTAATCAATACCCAGAACGGCTTATGACTTGGAGGCTGAGGCCACCATGCTTCTACCACCTGAGAGAAGAAAATAACCGCATCCCTAATCCTGATCCAAATTTATAGGATAATTGCTTTTGAAGAAAGTGTTCACATTTAGAACACCCAGAAATTTCAAACCCTTTTCCAGAGCCATGATAATTTTTATGTTCCCCAGTGGCCATTTAAATATAGTGGTTATGTGTTCTAGAGTCAGACTTAGGTTGAAGTCTCAGTTTATGCTTCTAGGTGAATAAAGTAGAGGTGATACCAAAATCTATTTAATAGGTTTGTTCAGTCATTCACACATTCAAATTCACACACAAATTCAACAAATTTTTATTGTGCATCTGCTACGTACCAAGCACATTCCAAGTGCTGGGGATACAGGACAAATACAGGCTGTCTTTACCTTCACTGAGTTTTCAGTCTAGTTTGTGAGTCAGACATGAAGTAACTAATTATAAAATTAGTCATTTAGAGTTTTTCTTTCCTTATGGCTGTAATATGTACTGTGAAACAGACTGTATAACAGGCAGACATGACTTGTCGAAGACAAGTTATTAAAAAGATTAACTAAGATAATGTAAGTAAAGTGTTTAATGCAATGCTTGGTGTAAAGCATACAATAAATGATACCGTATATTATTACTGGCTTTTGCACATATTTTAAATTCAGTACCTCACATAACATCTTTAAGGGTTCTTAGCTTTAGGATTTTGAACAGGAAAGGAATAATATACATACAATGTTATTTAGCAGTTTCTTTTCTTTCTACCCTCTGTCATTTCCCAATCTACCCAAGCAGCAGGTGGTTGACTGACAGTGATTAAAAAGGTTGAGACTGGAGGCCTAACTCTACCCAGAATAGCTTTCCTCTCCTATGCCTCTTTCAGCTTCTAAGGATGAGTTGGGGGGGGGGAACAACAATGAAAATGACACCTCCCCCAAATTTCCCCTTGAGAGAAGCACTTTAATTTTTGACTTGAGTTGTTTTCTTCCAACTCAGAGAAAAAAATTATTTATACTATTTTCCTATCCTAAAATTTAAAAAAACCCACCCAAAAAAACAGTATTTTATTTTCTTAACAGTAGTTAACTTGTTGTAATTAGTTCAACCAATGTGGTTTTGTTTTGGAGCCAAAATGAATTTGTTTTCAAAGAGCCCTTGATATAGATCTGTGTTCAGGTAAGAACCAAAAATATCAGTTGTCTAGACTGAAAAATATGTGAATGCAAAATGGCTGACAGACCCAGACCAGGAGTTATTTCTGCAAACACAGTGGAAAGATTATTCCCGAACTAGGACGACACTTATTTTTTTAATCCATACTCATTTCTGCCGTGATATTTAAAGTAGCACATTCATGAGAATAGTTGAAATAGCATTAAACATTTTCCTGGGAAAATGTAGAGAAATCCAACACATATGTACACACACACTTGAAAAGTTTTTAACGTGTTTGTTCTTGTTAGCACACTCTGAAGCCCGGAGTCATGATTTAATTAAAAATGAATGATCGATAACCAAAGCAATAACCTACTGAAGTACTGGCCTGAGACCTTAGCTCTTGCTTCACCTCTAATTAGTTAAGTGACCGGTTTTCAATTTCTCCACATGTAAAATAGGGAGTATAACAGAGCCTCTCTCTCCTTCTTCTAACTAAAACCAGAAAAATCTTATGAATAAATGAGATAATACCACCCTGCTGGTGTGGCTCAGCGGTTGAGCATTGACCTATGATCCAGGAGATAGAGGTTCGATTCCATGTCAGGTCACATGCCTGGGTTTTGGGCTCAATCCCCAATGGGGGGGCGTGCAGGAGGCAGCTGATCAATGACTCTCTCTCATCATTGATGTTTCTATCTCTCTCTCCCTTTCCCTTACTTTCTCTCTAAAATCAAAGAAATATACTTTTAAAAATAAATAAATGAGATAATATCAAAAAAGTTTCAACTTCTAGGTAGAAAAGTAATATAAAATATAATGTAACTTTACCGCAAGATGTTGTCTTGTTTCATGATATCCCAGAATCAAAACATAACTTGATGGATCACTAATCCACAATCGATCCCATAGAACATGCATACATATGTTCTATGGCTCAAGCCTGATGAAGCCTTACCTCCTAGCAGCTGGGATATTGAGGGTTACTGCTAGGAGAAGCAGCAGGCAGACTCCTGGCTGAATTAGTCCTATTAGACTATTTTAAGTGAGGCAATTCCTCTTGGGCCCAATCTTTTCATTTGGTAATAGAAGTAATAGTGGGGAACTGTGTGGCAATACACAGCAGGTTTCCCCGATGAATAACACTCTAGAACATGTGAAAAGCTATGTTAGCAACCAAAATACAAATAAACAAAACTTTATTATTAGGAAAAATGTGAAAATACTTCAACCAATTATGACCTAAGAGACTTCAGTTTTCCTATCCTTAACCAATTAGCTCACTACAAAGACAGCTTTTTCAGAAATATATTACTGAGAATGATCTGACTTTGAAGAAGAGTCTTCTGTTCATTTGTTTTTATGAGGTTTTGTGCTTAGGGAAAGAATTTTTAGAAGTTTGTTTTTTTATAAAATAATTTTAGGGACTAATGCAGCCTTTTTCAACCTGGTTTCCACTAGCATTAAGCCCTAATGCCTTGAAGCATCCGTTGAATATATGAATCAACTTCTCTCCTATGCCTCTTGAAGGGTACTAGTTATGACCCTTCCTTTGAAGATCTAAGAAAAACAGCCTCTCAAACCCTTTTCTGTGTTCTGTGATTCAGATGAGGAACCCTGGTTGAGAAAGGCTGGCAGAAGTTCCTAAATGAAAACATTTTGTAATGTCATAAACCTTCTTTTATCTGTTTACATGCACAGGGTATATCAGAGACCTCAACAAGGGGGTAAAGTATAATAAAGTCTCTGGACACCTTTCACCAAACAGTTTCTCCAGTTCTGAGTGCTGGAAATAGAGGAGTACAAAACAGGCAGAAATCTCTGCTCTCATGGATGTCATGTTCAAGTCAGGGGACAAAAGACAACAATAAATTAGTAAAAATACATGCTATGTGATAATAAGTGCTATGGAGAAAATTTTGATAGGGAGTGTTTGTACAGTTTTAAAAGAGTAGCCAGGACAGGCCTCTTCTGAGAGGTGATTTTTGGTTAAGAACTGGAGATAAGATACCCAGCAGAGGGGCTAGCAAGTGCAAAAGTCTTAAAGCAGGAGAGTTTCAAAATAATAAAATAACAGTAAGAAGACTAGTATGACTGGAGTGAAACAAATAACTGGGGGAGGCAAGAGGTTTGGGGAAGTAGCATGTGATTAGAAATGTAATGGGAAGCTGCATGGTATAGGGCCTTGTAGGCCATTGTAAGAATTTTTAGCCTTTACTCAGAGTGAGGTTGGGAAGCCATGGGAGGGTTTTGAGCTGAGAAGTGATATGACCTGACTTGTTTTAAAAGAATGAATCTTGCTACAGTGTTGTGAACAGACTGAAGAGAGGCAAGGCTGGAACTCAGGAGCTCAGCTTTTAAGACATAGGAGGTTTGAGGTGCCTATAAAACATCCAGTGAGCAGGCAGTTGAATATACAGATCTAGTATGTAGGGGAGAGACTTGGGTTGGAGATAAAATTTGAGAATAAAATGTCAATACTCCCACTTCTAGGAATATATCCTAAGAATCCTGAAACACTAATCAGAAAGAATATATGCACCCCTATGTACAGCACAGTTTACAATAGCTAAGATCGGGAAACAGCCCAAGTGCCCATCAGGAGATGAGTGGATAAAAAAGCTGTGGGACATTTACACCGTGGAGTACTATGCAGCTGTAAAGAAGGATCTCGTACCCTTTGGGGCAGTAATGGATGGACCTGGAGAAAATTATGCTAAGTGAAATAAGCCAGGCAGAGAAAGACAAACATCACATGATCTCACTTATATGCGGAATCTAAAGAACCTAATAAACTAATGAACAGAACAGATTCAATGACATGGAAGCATGGATCAGACTAATGAATCTTGGAGGGAAGGGGAGTGGGTGGGGGGAGAGATTAACCAAAGAATTTATATGCATATATGCACAACCCAAGGGCACAGACAATGGCATGGTGAGGGACTAGGGAGGGGGTGGGGCGGGGTGGAAGAGGTCAATGGGGAGAAAAAGGGACATCTGTAATATTTTGAACAATTAAAAAGAAATGTCAATATTATGTGGCATTTACAACTATGAGACTGAATGAGGTCAACTGGGGAGAGAGTTATAGAGAATGGAAGAGGTCCAAAGGTCAGTCTTTGGGGGCTGTGTAATGTTAATTTCTATAGTCACTTAAATTATAGCACATGCTGAAAATGGGCTCCAAGTTCTTACTGACATGCATTTGCATATCTTCTTGTACTTAGGAAGCTGTGAGTCAAATCCATTATTCCTGGCTTTTCATTCGATGGGTTTGGAGCTTTTTCTCTGTCATATAACTCCCACTGCCTCTGTTACGAATTCACAGGCTCTAAGAGTTTTCTAGGGCCGTACAACAAATCACACATGGATCTAAGCCTAGAAACTAGGTCTCTCCTAACTCCCAGCCAAGGCTCAAGGCACTAGGCATCTCCATTTGGAGTTTGTTCAAAAGGGCTTGACAACTGTTCATGCAAAAAAATAAACAATCCAAAAACCAAAACGAGGTAACAGTATGTTTGAAACAGCTGCAAAAGAAGTAAACATTCTTGCCCGGCCGGGCATGGCTCAGACGTTGAGCGTCGACCTAGGATCCAGGTGATCAGGGTTTGATTCCCGGTCAGGGCACATGCCTGGGTTGTGGGCTCGATCAATGACTCTCTCATCATTGATGTTTCTCTCTCTCTCTCCCTCTCCCTTCCTCTCTCTGAAATCAATAAAGATATAAAAAAAAGAAAAAAGAAAAAAAAAAGAAGTAAACATTCTTGGGGTTCATTTTAAAACACTGAGTTTATGGAAATAAAACTTCGTATAGATTAGTTCAGACCATATCTGGAATATTATATTCATAGGCATAATATTTTAAAAGGGAAACTTAATCTGGAGTATATCCAGATGACGATAACCAGGACAGTGGGACACCCCCTAAATAGTGATTTTTATTTCTAAGTAAAATCTTTAAATTCCAGGAATTGTAATACCCAGGTTGCGGGTTTAATCCCTGATTGGAGCGCCGTGCAGCAGGCAACTGACCAATGTTTCTCTCTCACATAGATGTTTCTCTGTCTCTCTTTCCCTTCCTCCCTCTCTAAAATTAATTTAAAAAATAATAATAGCCTGGCTGGTGTTGTTCAGTGGTTGGAGCATCAGCCGTACATGGAGGGGTCATGGGTTTGATTCCTGTCAAGAGCATGTACCTGGGTTGCAGGTTCTATCCCCAGCCCCACTTTGGGCACATGCGGGAGGTAACCAGTTGATGTTTCTCTCACATCAATGTTTCTCTCTCTCTCCCCCTCCCTTCTTCCCTCCCTTCCATTCTCTCTAAAAGTCAATGGGAAAAATATCCTCGGGTGAGGGTTAACAAAAAATAATAAAATAAAATAAATAATAAAATAAAATAAATAATAAAATAAAATAAATAAATTCCAGGAACTATGTAAGAGTTTTTCAGGAGCTAAATAACTAGATAAAGCAAGGGTTACCCTATCATTTAAAATGCTGCCAAAGAGGCCAGATAGCCATTTGTCTCAGATGCATTAAGGCAATTTCAGCATTCAGTGGGAAGCTAAAGAACTGATCTTTAAGTTATTTTCCATCTCCAGCATATTTTGACTCCAGTGCTCTTGAGTTTAATATCCTTAAATGGATATATATGGTTGATAATTTTTTTACTATAAAAATGGCAATTTTATACAGTACAACTTAAAAGGTCCACATTTTCCAAGTGCACCAATCATACTCTTCTAGGTCAACAGATATTTTGCAGGTACAGTCCTTGCATATAGGGGTTCATTGGGAAGGCAGGTATTGTTTTTTTTCTCTGCAGGAACACAGTTGGAAATATGGATCTAGTGTGTAGGGAAGAGATAGAGCTAGAGTTAAATTTAGTATAGTTATTATTTAGTTTGAGTCTTTAGATAACATGCACAAACTCATAGTCTAAAACATTACACTGTTTTATAATTCACAGTTACACAATTATTAAAGTTTTCAGAGTTATAAATTAACTGGTTTATGAATTTTCAACACTGGTTATTACTATTTTTTAAATATGTTTTTATTGGTTTCAGAAAGAGAGGAAGAGAGAGGGAGAGACAGACAGAAACATCAATGATGAGAGTCATTGATCAGCTGCCTCCTGCACGCCCCCTACTGGGGATCGAGCCCACAACGTGGGCATGTGCCCTGACCAGGGATCGAACCAGACCTCCTGGTTCATAGGTCGGTGCTCAACCACTGAGCCACGCTGGCCTGGCAACACCGGTTATTTCAGCAGAATTAGACAGGTACCACATTTGGTATATTTAGACAAAAATCCATAGGAAATTATCTAATGTGTTTTACATCATTCAGTTATTATGGGGATAAAGTAAAAAGAGAAATGTAAAAATGTAAATAACAACCTAACCAACCTAAAAGTTTAGTTTCCTAAACAAGCTTTCTTCAAGTTTACATAACAAATACTACTTTTCTATTCGTGTGAAGAACAAATAAAACTTCAGGTCACGATGAAAACTTTCTAATAAATATTACTACTTATAATGTGAGGAGACAACTGTTTCCTACCACATTCCAACAGAAGAGCGAAATAAAATAGCTCCATATTAGATCTGATACATACTGGGCACTGCTGCATAAATGGCCAATGCCTTCAAGGGGTTTTACATGGTAATAGCTCATCTGGCATTAAATGATAATGGCCCCAGGGCCCATGTATTTGAATTAGTGCCACTGCAAAGGAAGAAAGGAGTAACTAGCAATACAATGTCACAGCTTAGAAGAGAAGGCAAAGGGCTCACCTGAACTAGCTATGTTTTCATGTTTCTTGAGGCAATTAAGGTTTCCCTGTTAATTTGCAAGTACCAGATGGGAGGATGGGGAACCCCTCTTCTATTTTCAAAGAATGGATTTAACACAAGTCTTTACACATGTTGTTCAGTGAAGGTCATCAGGGAGCATCATATTCCCTCCCTCCCACCCTCTGAATAAATCAGACTCAATTTCCTCAATCACCTTCTACCTTTACTGGAAGAAGAGGCCTCTATTAAGCTCCACTCTGAATCTCCAAGAGGAATAAAAAATTCCGTGTAGAATTTTGGTCTAAATTTCAACTGAGAGGCAAAGTGTTTATTCCAAAGCACAGGCTTGGCCATGCTTAATTAGCCTTGGGGACACAGGAGGGTTCATCGGTCATCCCTCCACAGGTGGGTCCACAGCAGCCCGGTACTCACCTGAGCTGTAGCTGTCAGTGGATGACTGAGAAATGGAACGAGACAGAGAGCGACGCCCAATTTTGGTGGGACGTTTGTTGAATTCTTGCTTCTGGTCAGCAAACTGGATCTGCTAAGAAAAAGAACTCTAGTTATATAAAGGAGAAGAACCCCCACTTTGAGACAACAATTCAAGGCAGGTGATCTGACTGTACCAACTCATATTTGCAATGTTAAGACTCATGGAGAGAAGAATGATTTTCCATTCTCCATCTGCTCTATTTCGGTGAAATTTAAATATCTGATCCACTCTCTGGCAAATGCTTTTTACAATAAAACTGTGACCAAAAAAAAGGGAGAATGGGATGTTCTGGTTAAAATAAGTTTTTAGAAAGTTGGGTCAGATTCAGAGATCCTTTCTATAGTTTCACTGAAAACTAAAGCTGGAAAGAATCTTTGAGACCATCTATTCCAATTTTTACATATCTAAATGAGAAACTGCAAGGTGCAGAAAGGTAAAGTGGCTTGCCTTCAAGGTTTTAAGATTCTCAGGAAATGGTCTGGTATAATGAAAAAATACATAGGCTTTCCATTCAGAGAGATCTTTCCTGGCACTGCATTCAAACCCTGGCTGTGCCACTCATTAGCTATGTGACGTTGGTCAAGATACTTCTGTGTGCCTCATTTTCTCATAAACACAGCAAAGATAAAAATAGAGGGTTAAATCAAACAGTGTATGGGCATACTTTGTTTTATTGCGCTTCACAGATGTTGCATTTTTTTTATTGTTGTTGTTTGTTTGTTTTTACAAATTGAAGGCAAGACTCTCTACCAGCAAAAGACCACGACTCTATTGCAGTGGTCTGGAAACCAAACCAACTCCCACTATCTCTGAGGTATGCCTGCCTATAAACTAAAATATAGCAGGAATTCAATAAATCCATTCCCCCACTCCAGCCCCTACAGTTCACTGCTCTTATAGCTATTGCAGGCAGTCACTATAGTTTTTAAAGATGTATTAATTAACTTTTCAGTACTAGTAAGTACACAACATTAATTTATTATTTGTAAAGTCTGGTATCATAAAATACCTAAAAGCCACAAGGTTGATTTTATTAACTATAATATAACAGGTATAGAAGGAGTGAATGAGTGGACTGAATATGTATAAACCTCAATACTCGAGACAGCATTTTGGGCAATATCTGATAATGACTTTCTTGCATTTTTATCTCTTTCTCCTACTGTTGGAGGTTCCAGCTGCTACTTTTTAACACTCTACCACACAAAGCTCGTATCATTTCAATAAATTACTTTTTCTTTTTCCCTAACTGAATGTTTGCATAATTGCTTAGATTATTCTGGATCTAAGGTGGCAGGGAGGCAGAAAGCATCCAAGATCTGACAAGTGATTCTACCTTTCATAATAAAAAGATGGTTCCCTGATGGGCAGAACACAGATACAGCATTATCAGAATGAGAGCAGCAACTGAAACTCCATTTCCTGCAGTTAGAGGTAACTAGTGAGTCATTTGAGTACTGAGATGAAGGAATCAATGCCAAATTGAATTAGCTTAGCATGCCTTTGGGGGAATTCATAAGCATTTTCATAGCTGTAACAACAAATAAAGCCTATGTAGTACTTTAGAGTTTGTAAATGATTTTCAGCAATAGGAAAATTCATTTGATTAGAAGCTCTTTTTAAAATGAAAAATGGCAAAACTGATTATTTTGCTAAAGTGGTAATTTATTCCAAAAAGATAAAGTGCCCTTTCTATGCACTCCCATGGGCTATACCTGAACTTCCATGTACAGCTCCTATCACAGTACTTATTGCACTAAATGTAACTACCTGCCTGTATCCTGCATAAACTAGAGGCTCCACAGAGGTGGTACCTGTGTCTTACCCTCACACCTGCAGGCACAGGCGCCTGGCACACAGTAGGCACCCACGTGCTGAAATGAATTGGAAGTAGCCTATTCTATCTTCACTGTCTGTACGTGGCTGAATGTTAAGTAAACATGGTAAGCATAAGCCAAGTCTAAAGTTGAAAGAAATTTTAAGGGCAAAAAAAATTGGGAAGGGGAAGAAGGTGGGTGTGAAGAGGGGGAGGAGATAGCAGTCAAGCTCAGAATTTTGGCTTCCACTTCACCAACCTTGTTTAAGACAATGACTCATCTCTATTCTTTTTTAGAGGCCCATCTAGGAAAAGGAGTAATAATTGACTTTCCAAAGGTCACAATGAATCACTAACTTTAGCAATGCCTCCTTAAAAAAAATAAATAACAGATAACCCCCCCACTCACACACCACTAGAGGGGGCCAGTCACTCTACTTCTCTGGGATCAGCGGTGGGTGGGTACGCATACTTTTCTTTTTTTTAGTAATAGAAAGCCTCAGTTTTGTTTTGTTTTTTAATCTTCAACAGAGGATATTTTTTTCCTTTGCTTTTTCAGAGAGAGGGAGAGAAACATCAATGTGAGAAAGACACATTGATTGGTGGCCTTCTGCACACACCCCCGACCAGGGCCAGAAATCAAACCCGCAATCGAGGCATGCAAGTGCCCTTGACCAGAATCGAACCCGGGACCCTTCAGTCCGTGGGCAATACTCTAACCACTGAGCCAAACCAGCTAGGGCAGTACACATACATGTAGCCCAACAACACTAAACCATTTAGCTATCTAGCTGCATCATCATCTCAAAGCAGATTCTCTAAGCTGAGCTCTCTTCTCTACAGTCTTCTCCATTTACAGCTATTCCTTCCACTCAGGACAAGTTTAGGCTGTCTTTTGGCACTAAAGAAGACTGGGTAGGCTTTCTCCACTGAGAGACATAGGGTACTAAATTTTGTTTACTTGTTAGACACTGAACTCAAGTTTCTCTAGGACAGAATGTTAGACAGAGACTACTTATATAGAATGCTATACCATTTTCCAGAGAAATTAATGTTTATCTTTTACTGACAACCAGAGCACATGTTTAAGTATGTCATTCCTGTTGCCCACCTGCCCTAATAGTTAAATGCTATATACATTCCTCACTCAACAGTTCACCTTGTAACACAGTAGTCTAACCACCCAGGCTGGGGTGCTTTGGTAGCTTCCACCCCTAACTTTCCTACGTGTCTGAAACCAAAGAGTCCTTTAAGATAATCCCCCTTTTTTCATTTCAGAGAGAACTGCCTAATTCCAACAGGCATCAAGGCAAGGGAGGGAAAGAGACTATGAGGACAGGAGCAGCTCACCTTATGACAGAAGGAGGGATGAAAGCAGGAAAGGAGGGAAAAAGCAGCTCGCCTTTCACATCAATGGCTATCGCAGCAGCAAGACTGGTAAGTAAGAGCTTAGCCTCACCTGGGCTTTAATCCCAGAGTTGCCACTGACAATGTATTTCTTCTTGTTGCTCAGCATAGTGACATTATCAGCCCCACTGCCACCTCTCCGGTCAAGGGACCCTTGTGGCTAGGCCTTTAAACTTTCCGCATCAGCAATTCTCCTGGCTCTGGCTCCAGCTAGATTTTTTTTTTTTTTTTTTTTTACAGAAACGGGATATTCAGACTTTTATGTGAAATTTTATACATTTGTATGTCATTGCAAAGTATACACTGCATATCTGAGGCCATGAATTATTAATTCACAGCTAATATACATGAAAATACTTTTTAAATCACTTTATACTTTTATAAAATAATACACAATTTTAGGTACGATTGATGAATACTTTATTTTGGAAACTTTAAATCTTAATATATCTATAATTTTTANTTTTTTTTTTTTTTTTTGGTTGGGAGGTGGGGTGCTACCCTTCCCTGGATTCCCTGAAGCTGCTCCAACAACCCCTCCAGCAGTTGAACCCAATGCAATAAAAAATTTCTGTTAGTGGCTCATCGGCCACTAATTCTGGTGGCTGTTTTGCTTTTATTTTATTTTTTTCCCCCTAAACACCTAATTACATGGATCCTCTGACCTCTAAACCTTAACAAGTCCCTTGACAAGGCCCAACTTGCATGCATATAACAATAGCGTATTTATATAACCAGCGCACTTTTTTGCCTGCTATAATTATCTTGCTAATTAGGTTCCTTTTTAACCTTACCTCCTTTTCCATGTCAGCTGATTTTATTTAACCTAGTCTTATTAGGGAGGAAAAAAAAAATTAACTACAAAGCCACTAAAACAATGAGGGAATTTATTAAGATGGTAACAAAAAAAGGTGGTGCCAAGTGCTCCGGCAGCCCCTACCCCTACATTCTGTGTCCTCGGGTTAGTGAGACTGGGGACAGTGCTGTACTCTTTTTTTAAATTTTTTTAAATTTTAGTTTATTGTAAAATTATAGTTGACATATAATATTATATTCGGTGCTGTACTCTTAATTGTGCATTTTTAATACAGGTTTTGACATTTGGTGTCTAGTCCCATCTCAAGATTGTTGCTGATTAGGTGCTGAGTGACTTTGTTTTTTTAAAAAAGTGTTTTAGCCCTGGCCAGGGTGGCTCAGTTGGTTGAGGATCCTCCCACGCAGGTTGCCCCCCACCTCACCCTCCCATCGGGGTACTTGCGGGAGGCAACCGATGGATGGGAGGCAACCGATGGATGTCTTTCTCCCTCTCCCTTCCTCTCTCTCTACAGTCATTAAAAATATATTTTAAGAAAAAGTTTTCCAAAAACTGTGTGTTTTGTGGAAGGTATGACTACAAAGGGGAGTTTTCTATTGCCTCAAGGTCCCCAGGATCACAATGACTTTGTTACATATCAAATTAAAGCCAAATGAAAGGGCAAAGCATCACATTATTTATTTGTTAGTTTCTGAAAGGGGGCCAGTGAATAGGAAATCTACATACAACTGTATGTTACAGAGACAGGGTGGGAACGGGATTTGAATTCTTCCTAAAACAAAAGGCCCCGCCCCGCCGGTTTGGCTCAGTGGTTAGAGCACCAGCCTAGGGACTGAAGGGTCCTGGGTTCAATTCTGATCAAGGGCATGTACCTTGGTTCCAGGAGCTTGCAGGAAACAACCAATTGGTGTGTCTCTCTCCCATCAATGTTTCTCTCTCTCTCCCCTCCTGCCCTCCCTTTCATCCTCACTAAAAAGCGATGGAAAAAATACCCTCAGGTGAGGATTAACT